TTTACGTTTTTTTTACGATGCATACCATCGTCTATTAATGGGAACGAGACGTTTTATTTTTGTATTGGGTGTAGCAAAAGTAAAATATATCATATGCTATAGACGTTGTATCGTAGGTATACATATTATAATAGAAACATATACTATATACTATCTATTCACTTATTTATATCCCATTACGTGGCTGCACAAGCTGCTGTAGGTAAATTAGACAAATAAAATGTTTTGGTGATTGGAAATTTCTATTTGGCATATTACGACTGTGAAAAATCATATTTTAGGGGGAGCTTGATAAATTTGACCATAGAAATGTTTAAAAAATTGATGTTCTAAGGTTATCAGTACCTATCTTATTTCCATGACTCCAAATATCACGGTTATTTGAACAAATTACATAATAGGTATTCTAAGTCATTAAACTGAACTTCGTTTTTTTTTTTTTTTTTTTTTTTTTTTTAATAAAGTATATTTAATAAAATTGGTAATTCAATTTTTGTTCTACAACCATATTTTTAAATTTTTATCATCTTTTTTCAATATTATTTTGGTTTAGAAGGAGGGTTATGCATTTTGTAGTAGTACCTTCCGTAAATATCAGTAGTATAATTGATACAGTTAAGATGGTTTACTTTGGTCTTTGCATTTAAAAAAAAACGTTTCAAATGAATTGATTTTAAAATAACTATTCACATTATAAATTTGTTAAATTCAAAACAGATTAAAATAAATTATTAAAATACCTATAATATTATTATATTATATTTGTTTCCTAAATTAACTGGTTTGTGAATAGATATGTCATACTCAATACACATAATTTATAATTTTTCATCTATTACCAAATTAAGTTAAATTAAAATAATTTTTATAGTGTAAGTTATGACATATAGGTAATATATTTGAAACTGAATTATTTTTCGTACTATAAACATTAAAATATTTTAACTAAATATTTTGAAATTCAAATCTCGAAATGTTTATTTATTTATTTTTATTTAACTAGTGAAAATATTATTAATGTTTCAGTTATTGTCTTTTAAAATATTATTTTTGTCTTTATTATTTCTACTTATGATAGGAATATCACTATGTTAATATGAAGGCATAAAGTTATTCTTAATGCATTATCGTTATTTATACACGTATAAATAAAATAGATAAATAATTAAAGATATAGATAATAAATTAAAAAATATTTTAAAATTAGTCGTACACGTAGCATAACTAATTTATAAATGTATAAATCATATTATATTACAAAAAATGTTTATTACAAAAGTTACTGTTTCTTTCGACACAATTGATGTTTTTAGTAAAATTAATGTAATAATAAATGCATAGTTTTATGAATAAATTATCTTTAATAACGGTTGTCCTCTAAAAAAAATAGTTTTAATAGGTAATCTAAATCTTATATTTATGCTGGTTTCTATGTACAGTGATTGAAAGATTTTTATCTAAATTAAACCATGAGCATTTTATAGTTAAAAATAATTAGGTGTCTACTTTTTTATCTGCCATACTAACGACAAAAATGTTTACAATTTAAACATAGCTATGTAAACATACTATGTTTAAATTCATAAATACATAGTATTGTTACATTCTTAACATTTAATATTATGATTGACAATATTATTAAATGTCAGCGACTATTTTATAGCATTAATAATTAAGCATGGTATGTTTAATAATTCAAACAACCTTGAATTTCATATAAAAACTCGAGGTTGATTATGATGAAATGCAAAAAGTAATATTTTTATTATTCTTTTTTTTTTTAACATTTATTTGATTATATACAATCTGTAAAAGTATTCACAATGAGCATATGTACGAAAAAAGAAAAATAATAATAAACTATAGGTACTAGTAATATAATATAATATACAAGCTAAAGTATAATTTTATAATTCAAATGTATAGATATTAAAATAGAAATAAATTTACATTATCGTTTTATGGCAACTAAAATTACTTTTTATTCTTTTACAAACATTTAATTTAAAGTATGACTATGAAATGTAAAATATTTAAATATTTGTAAAATTCGTTTTTAAGTGACTTATAGATTAGTATATACATGTATTACTGGAACATAATGTTAAAATTTGTCAGTGTGCAATGTGCATTAGGTATGTATAGGTAAAAGTAAAAGTTGTTTCAAAATCGAATGTAATACACTGTGTATTGTGTAGTAGGTAGTATAGATACACGTTGCACTAAAATAAAGCTGACTTATAAAAAAAGCTGAACATGATTTTTGAATCAGGTGTTGTAAACAAATAATATTTAAATAAATAAAGTGTACCTGTGTTTTATTTTTTTGGAAGGTAAATTAATAATATTTAGCTATTAAATTCTATTTCTTTTATCTTAATGATCATAACACTGTAAGTTATTCAACATAATAAAATTTCTATTTAATAATTTATCTTAGGTTAAGAGCTTAAGAAATTTTTAAAATCAATTTATTTAGTTGATAGTGAAAATTAACTGATATATAATTAAAGCAAAATAAATTATTAGTTTTCATTAGATAATAAACACTGTAATTTTGTATTTGAAAAAAGAATAATTATTGGTTTAAATAGTTTTGATCGCTTGAGATGTGTTAAATTATCTCAAAAAATATCTTTTATCATTTAAAATATTTAGATGTGTATTAAGCTATTTAAACCACCAACATATTTACATTGTTCTACGGTACAGTAGATTGATTTATAAATCAATGTTAATTATGCACATTGTGTGTTTTATAATAATTGATTGTCTATGAGGTGATTTTATCAAATAAAAGTTCAAATACCGAGTTAAAATAAATAATGAAAAATGAATAGCTAATTTTGCCCAATATGTATTAATTTTATATTTTTAAAAATAGAACCTGACACTTTATCTTCTTTTAAAATAAATTTTGTATGAATTGGTTTACACATAATTGAATTTAAGTATAACAAATCCTGGAATTAAAAATTTGTGAAACTTCAAGTGTTAAGTTTCTATTTAGTTCCTGTTGTATTGATTCTTTCTGAATTATAATGAAAATTCTAAATTAATTTCATCGAAACTCTTGTGTATAACGTAAATAATCGTATACGCCTTCTTCCCATCAAAAGCCACCATAAATATTGAAAATTAAAGAAAATATTTTCTGCGACAAAATGTGACGAATATTAATGAAAAAATAAATTCAAAGTTCAAATAAATTAATAAAAAATAAATATTTTCCGATCAAGTTTTTGATCGATTAAGTCTCTCTTTTTTTAATTTATTTATACGTTTCAACTCTTACGATTATTGGTATTTCTTACAAATACGCATTAAATTAATTTCATATTAAAAATGTATGTTATATTTAACTTTAAATTAAATTAATATATATATATATATATTATTATTAAAAAACTTATTAATATATTTAAATATAAATCAAATTTTAAATTTTATAAACATTATTAAAATATATAGAGTAAACACAACTGGTTTTAATAATTGTTTATTATTCCCAAATAAACACCAACTCCAGTAATTTGTTCGCGTTAATGTAATTTGAGTATAACGCACTGTGTATCACAATGTTGCAAGCGTTCCTATAATGTTTTATCTTAAATTTATTTTTAAAGATATTTCATAAATGTTTTCAATAAACATAGACATATTTTTACTATTTAGGAAAAAGTGGTTGTCTGAAAATATTATTTTGGCTATTTAAACACTTCCATACAGATTAAAATTGTATTAATGAAAAATAATAATTAATATTAGTACTTATATATGATATATAGATATATGTATATTTAATACATTCTCATATTAGTTATAATTTATTATTATTTACATATTTACACATTTTTATATTATGATTTTATTAAACTTACTGTTGCTTAATTAGAGACTTTACATATATGTTTAAAAATCTTGGTAAATACTAATTTATATTTCTAATATTAATAAAACATATATGCAAATATAGTAGCAATACACATTGGTTATGTTTTGCTGCTTTACACGTGTTACTGTGTTAGTTTAAGCGAAATGCGTGTGAAATAATTACAGAGCCAAAGCCTGAGAAAAGTAAATTTTGTTAATAATGGATTATTCAATGTCATAACTAGTGTAAATTATTTATGTAATCTATTATAATCAAAATAAAGTAAATTAAAAAAAATTAATGAAATTCACACATAATGAGTATTGAAAAACATATATTGTGTTTTTTTTTATTATGGTGAATGGTTTGGTAAAATATATGCAACTGCGTTTTGTATATTCCATGTGCATTCAATATTTATTATAACTAACTTTTTATTTTTAATTGTGGTCAAAAATATTGTTTAAAACAAACCACAATTATATTATATAAGTACTTCAAATTAATTAAAATTTCATGCTTCAACAATGTCGTGCACTTAGCATAAAATTGAACGATTCGTTTTAATTTGGTTTAATGATTGAAGATTAACGTATCGATAAACAAATTGATATTATTTGAAATATTATATTATATTATGTATGAGCTTTATAAAGAATTCTAAATTAGCTATATTATATACTTTTGTACGAGGTTTAATATTTCCTTAAAATTGTATTTTTAAACTGCCGTGCTGATGTCCATACTCGAGTAAACGTTTTAATATAGACACAACACCAAATAATGTATTGATTTGAATCAGTGTATTAGATTTTTGAATTTTCTCGCGTATAAAAGTATGATTTTTATTTCTCTTAAATTATTTATATATTTAGACACGCAATTTTTATAAAATAATTTTACTTTATTATTCTGAACATTACATAAATAACTAAATTACATTTGTGATTGTTATTATGTAGTTTTTAATCTAAATAATTTATTATAGATAGCCGATTTATATGTTTATTTCATTAGAGTTTAACTGTCTTTTTTTTTGGGGGAGGGGGGATAGTTGTTAATTCATACTTAATTTTAACCGTTTACACACTAATAATTATCATTATTTTTTCATTTATTGTTACAGTTCGTGAATTATTACAGATTTAGAGAAAATCATCCAGACTACTACACAATAAACCCATTAGATTTATCTTTCATAGCTGATTCAGAAGTACTAAGCGTTCTGCCTTACAAAGAACAGACCGGCAGACGAATTTTAATTTATAAATTAGGTACGTAAAATTCACTGACATACTTTTTTTACTTAAAATTTAACCCAAGTTATTTATTTTTTTTACTCTTCAAATATTGGAAACTGTAAAAGGCAACGTCATATCTTTTATATTTGTTGAGTGTGCTGAATTATTTCATGTTAATAAAAATTATTAATAATTTACAGTTCATATATGATAGAAGAACGTATACTTTCATACAATAGCATACAATAATATAATTTAATATATAAAACATAAATTATTATCGTACTTAATTTGCATTGACTGTAAAAAAACTTGAATGTGAATAGTCAATATAGTACGTTAGTCGTTAAATTGATATTTGCTATATATCAATGTATCTATGCACATTTTATTTATGGTACTAACTAATAAAATAAGTTTACTTTAATAAATAAGCTGGAATCATATTAATTTTATATACAGTTGGTGGTTAAAAGTGAAAATTTCAAAACTTTTAGTAATATTATTATCAATATTTATACTTATAAGTATTTTTTTCCTAAATGTGATTATAAAGTGATTCTTTTAAACTAATATACTATACTTTATTGCTTTCCTATTCAGGTTAAAAGAAATTTATGGGTAGTTTTTGTTTTATTATAAATCTATAATTTGTATTTCTTTTAAAGATACTCATACTAAATGCTTAATAGTAAATATTACTTTTATTTTATATGTCTCATAACTAGGTATAATATTTATATATAATCTTACTTATAAAAAAGTATCAACTATAATTTTTAAATCTATAGTATATTAAATCTTTATATTATTTTAATTTTAAATACTCTGTTAGCAATATTGTCACCAAAAAAAAATGTTATACGTTTTTGTAAATTTATTTTAATATGCGATAGGTAGTACTGTATTATTAATAATAGATAACAAATGCTTTCGTATGGAATCAGTATAAAATTGAAACTTAAGTGTAATAAAAAAATAAATATTTTCCTATATGACTGATACGTTTTGAGTACAAAGAAATATTTTAAACTGAATAAAATTTTACTTTATTGGGTTAAAATAGTTTTTTTTATTAAAAGAATTCAAAAGTAGTTCATTCAAACCTGACAATACACCGTATAGGTAGTTACTGAATGTACATTTTTTAATATTCAATAAAACGTATTTTGTTGTAAACACTAAACAGTATTACATACATCAACATAAGTTGATATATATTATTTTTATTGTATATTATTCAATGTTTTATATATTTTTTATGATTTTAGAATAACATTTAAAAATATGTAAAAGTTGTAGGTGCAAGTATAAACTTGCAGATGACACATAGTTCTAGCATTAGTAATTTTTACCTATTCTACAAAATAATTTATGTTTGATTGTGAAATACATAAACCATAATATTAATTTTCTGTTAGTGAATATAATATTTATCATCTAGGTATGCAAATACCTCAATATTTTAAAATAGGTTACGATATTTCAATAGGTAATCAATGATTATATTAAAATTAAATTTTATTTTTAAATAATTTAAATAAAGCTAAATATATTTTTACTAAAATTTTAAATATAAATATTATTATTTGTTAAATTTCAATTAGTGAATCTAAGTTATTTACCAAATAATATACATATACATAAAACATAGTTCATATAAATAATAAATATATTGTATTAGTATTTGAACTATGGTTTATCGTGGGCTGGTACCTAATAAAATATAGGTACTTTCTGTTTAGAAGTGTATTCTTTAATAAAATGTTAAGTTTATTAAAAATATGAGATTCGCGTAGCTTTAATAATTAAAACAATAATATTTATCGTATAATGTAAAGATTTAAATCGTTTAAATATGGAAGGGAATATCGCACTACCTATTCATCTTTAAATGCATAACAATAAAGGAAAACGTTGGAAATCCACAGGCAATAGTAATAACTTTCGAGGGTACTTTGCCTCAGCGTACATGCAGATAACAATTATTGTAAAACAAAGTGCAACATGCAGTGACGTAAATAGTCATTATTAATATTAATCTTTGTGCACTATTATGTACGTTTTTAATCAAATCATAATAATATATAGCCGATATAATAATAATTTTATCAATTAATGAAGGTGATTTCGTCTGTTTGGAACATTATAATATAAAATTATACTTAAAGAAGTATATAATTTATGAAATGTAAAAATTAGAAAAATTGTCTTCGTAGGTAATTACATGTTATGAGTATCTATCTAACCTATAGGGGTATGCTTAAAGTGTGAACAGTCAACATGTTTTGATATTAAATTAATCGTTTTCATAATTATAAAATGTATATCAATTAGTCTCATGCAATTTATGGTAATAATAAATTTAACTCGTTCAAACTATTAATATATGATTTTATATACATGTGTAGCACTTTCCGTATTAAATACCAATGTTCAAAAAATAATAAAATAACAATACTTAATGACTATAAATATTTATATAAAAAAGTGTATTATTTTGCTTTAAAAGTTTAAATGAACAAATTATAATATCGTTAAATTGATATATAATATATATACAGTTAAAATTCTACTTATTTGTATACTAACAAAGTATAAATTCCTATTCGCCAGTAAAATTTAACTTGTTTAGTATTAGCGTACGTAGGAATTTAATAGTAAATTTAACAGTTTTTGAATGGTATTTAAAGCTTATTCTGAATTTAATAATTTTCTTGTTCATAATAATCTCATTAGGTACTCATTAGTCATTAATATGCTCCTTTTCTTACGGAAAAAATATGAGAAGAGATTAAAATATAAGTTTTGTCCTCTTTTGAATTTGTAGTTGATGCAACTGTAGTTGGAATTATTAACTAGATAATTACTACTTACTACTTTTAAAGTTCACCAAACTGACTTTTATGATAAATAAATAATTTTCACCAAAACATCCTTTTAACTAAATTTTAGGATTTATTCGTTGTTTTATTTTTAATTATTCGTGTTCTTTGCGAAGAATTCAACGGAGTAACTACCATATGTGTAAATAATGTAACCATATTATTATACATGATTTCTTCTGAATGATTAAAATTTTTATGGAATTATTTAGCTATTACTAAAAAAAATATATATTTCATTGAATTTAATTTTGAACAGTTTTACTTAATTGTCTAAAAAAGCAACAGCATAACATTGGAAACTTAGAAAGTTTTGAATTAATTTTTCTATTTTTTAATTTATCATATTATAAATTAAAATATAAATATTCAAATAATTATTGAATACAACTAAATTTAAAATATGTATGTGAGAATGCTATAAAATAATAGTATGACAGTTATAAATTATAATGAATATAGTAGGTATTTGACATTTACCAGATTAATAAACATTTTACATATTTTAATATTTTCACCCACTAATTCCTGAACACATAACTATCTACCTACATGAAAAATGTCAATAATTTTACTTCTTCTTTATTATATTTATAATATCAAATCTTTTTTAAACTTCAATCTTAAAAATTTCAAATTTAATTTAGTAAAAATAACATCGTATTTGTACAGTTTGGCATGATTTATATTTATAAAATTTCCCGGTAATTAGTAATATTGAAACGAATTAAATTTCATTTTTATTTAATTTGTTTTTGTAATGGATTTTAAATTATGTTTAATAACATTTTACTGATCAAAAATAAAAATAAAACTTATTATCGTTTATGCAAAACTTTATTCATCAGCCTTAAATATTTTGAATTTAATTTTTTTTTTTTTAAAGAAAATTAAGTAAAATTATAATAATTATTAGATTAAATTAAATTTTACTTTATGTTAATTTATTTTTAAAATACCTTCATATTTTATGTTTATGAATAATGTATATTGGCTGTATATATGTTTCCTTTTAATTGTTTTATTATTATGTAATTTTTATACTTATTTTTTTTTTTAAATATTTTTAAAAATAAAATATATATGTATACACATATTTATTAGACAAATATATATTTTAAATAATCGATATTATCTTCATTAGACTACTTTCTAATAAATATAGGTATGCTAACCACTATGATTTAATCAAATGATCGTCACTGAACACAAATTATACTTATACTTAATTATTTAAAAAGATAAAAATTCAATGTTTAAAAACAAAAAAATAGCTTTCATTGTTAAAGTTATCACTAATTTATCGTTATTATTTGCTTCATTGCTATCTTATCTTTATTATTTATCACCAATTAGTTAATAATTATCATACATAGATATCTATTTGAATATAAACTGTATATAACTGTAGATATTGCTGATGGTTTATTTTACTAATATAACTTAATGTTGTTATGTTTAAAAAAATTAAATACCTATGTCTTTCTATTGCCATAATTTTTTAAAATAAATTTAAAAATGTGAACTGTTAATTTAACTGCTTACCTAATCTAAATAATAAAAATAAAAAAATCATTATCTTTTTTATAAATGTACTAAGTAGGAATTATTGACTTGAAATTGTCGAGGGGTTTTATTTAATTATACTCTTTAGCTTCCCTTCAAACTATGCATATGTAGAGTAAATATTATTAAAAGAGCATTATAACTTTTAAACTTACTTTTAATTATATAGGTTCATTGTTATTTAATATCTGACGAATAATATAATTTCCGTCTAAGTAATGTAGGTATTGTAATTGGGTACTATAACTATTATTAATCATTTTGAAAATTAATAATATTAATAAAAAAGATTCTTACGGTTGTTTTATTTTTTTGAGTTATATTTAACTAATATATTGTTTTGTGATACTTATGGTTTACTATGTACAATATTTTGTAAAACAATGATAGCAGATTGGTGCCTGCCTATTTTATTAGAACATAATTAATAATAATAACACTATCACTTAGTAAATTGCCATTTCAAAAAATGTTTCGTTAACTTGTTATTGTATTTTCAGGTAATTGGAACACCAACGATTTCGACATGAACGAAATACTTAAAGCGTCGCTGGCCACGTTAGAGCTTGGCGTTTTAGAACCGATGGCTCAAATACTCGGTGGGGTGGTCATATTTGATATGAACGGATTCACGCTTCAGCACGCTTACCAAATCACGCCAAAAGTTGTTTCAACGATTTTCGAACTCATCGTCGTATGTTAATTTTTGATTACTTTTTCCCTTTTTGGTGAAAAAAATATATCGCTGTCCCATCATATTATTATAACCATATGCAATACATTATATTATTTTTACCCGTCTTACAGTATTCTATACCGATGAAGACGTACGCGATTCACATAATCAACGAGTCGTGGGTGTTCGAAACGGTGTTCAATCTCTTTAAGCCATTTTTGGGCAAGCGTTATAACGAAATGGTAAGTTTATTATATTTTTATGTGCTGGAATAAAACTAAACATAAATTGTATCGTACGTACGGCTTAAAAATCATAAGGCGTGTTACAACATAATATTATTATCACTATAGAACCGATGATTTGATTTTTACCGAGTACATAATTGCGAACAATTAAAATCGTCATATTCTCTTACATTTAATCAAAGTAAACTACGCTTGACAAACATTGTAAATCAAATAGTTACTTAAACTTCGTACGGCAATGTTTCAATATATTTTCAATAAATTTTTTCTATTCTTGTTATTTAACTTTAAAATGTTTTAATAAATTATAAACCATGTGTTTAATAAAACAAACTGTAGTTATTCGTAAACATGGGATTTTAATTTTATTATTCGATACATTTTCTTCATTTTTCACAAAAAGTTTCAATTTGTTTACTTAAACATTTTTATAGTTTTATAATAAATTATTATATTCTATATTTATACTCGTATATTACGTGTTATACATAAATGTTTAATGTATTTTTTTTTTTTTTTTTTGTATTTATTATTGCATGATTTTATGTTTTTTATGTTAACAGTTATTTTTCCACGGAAAAAATATGGATTCTTTACACAAACACATCGATCCAAAATATCTACCAAAAGTATACGGTGGAGTGCGTCCAAATTATCCTTATCAACATTGGTTAATTAATTTGAAGAACAATGCCACAGTAGTAAAAGGTATTTACAACACGATAATAATAGTTTGACGTTGACCTTAAAAACTTGGAAACTTAATTGTCTACGTTTTATAATAATAATTATTATAAGAGTTTTGAATGACATCCATATTTTTTATGAACAGTGGCGTCATTTGAACCGCGCAAGGTAAACATTTGCGTATTTAAAATCTAATTATATTGTGATTTGGCCCACTTCTTAAATTAATTGGCCTGAAAAATGGATAAATACTGAATTAGGTTTGTGGCATGCATAAAAATATGAATACTAAAAAAAAAATTAAGTTACCTTACTGTTTCCAAATATAGTTGTATGTTGAAGTTAGGCTAAGTTTGGTATGGTAAATTAATTTCTTAATAAGTATATTAAGTAAAATACGTAGTACATGTTTACTTATTAATAATATGCGTTGTATGTGTTATTTATACTTACATATTTACTTACTTACTCATATTATGAAAACGTCTAGAAATGATAAATTTACAATTAGTATAAAACCAATAAAACGTTATTTCTTACAAAGATAATTTGAAAGTAATGAAATAATTTTGATGTTATATACTTTTTAGTTATTTCGAAATACTTATAGTATATTGTTAATGCATCAAGTTGAATTAGTTATCATTAGATGATTTGAAGTTATATTGGTTTTCCATGTACTAAAATACATAAAATGTACAGTGTACACAAACGTTCATGTATTGATTATTACATAAAAATATGTTTAGAAGTATATACTTTGGTACTCGTATTTTCTGAAGGGTTTATCTCAGTCGTTATTACATTTCTCCAAATTGCAAGAGCGTATTGTAGACGTAAATTTGATAATTAAAAGGTAAATTACTTACTTATACGATAAAATAATCTTATATACTTCTTCTGTTTGGCTTTGCGGTATTTTATTTATATATTTTTTACTAATTTTAATTTTGCGTTCTGCTTAAGAAACCGAGACAGTAATGAAACCATATAGCTCTTAATCTATCGTCAACCATCATAGCATTGTACCATATAGCTGTAATATTTCAAAGGGCAAGGAATAGGGATGTAATTTAAACTAAATATGACAGATACACACATGTGACATGCAGTGTGACATTTATATAATAATCATCATCAGTTGATGCAGGCATGCACCCTGCCAAACTTACGTATAAATGGTTATTACTTAATGTGATTAGATTTGTTTGTTTAATGGCTGTAAAAACCAATAGTTGTAACAAAATTATCATAAATATCATATATTATATGTCAGACGTTAGTCTTCTACTATTGCATCGTTGAACACTATAATATATTATAGTATATAATACATTCGAAAGACAAAATATCTTGCTTAATTCCTATTGTTCGATTAACTGTAACATGGTAAATGTTAATTTAGTAATTTTTAATATTTTATTATATTATGCTATAATACATAATAATTAAACAATATTTTTTTTTGTTTCAGAAATGGAAAGCATGGGTTATTGCATTGGATCTAAATGATCCCCGTCAACTACTATTGAATTTATCTATATATTTTTATTTTTTTTTAGTTTTAAGTTTTATCCTTTCAATTTTTGGTTCATGTTTATCATTTTCATTATTACATTTTTAATAAATATCTTATATTATATAGTGTTTAAAATAAATCCATGACATTGATAATCTACGACGTTGTTTTATTAATATTATTTAACCTATGTGGGTCTAACTTAAAAAAAATTCTTGGAAATTAGTGATGGGAAATCTTTTTATAGCAATATTTTTTTTCTTCTCCGCAAACATTAAATTATAACCGAGATAAGTGGTACACTTAGTTGCCTATCTACGACGCCGTAAGACTATTTTATTGAAATGCATTGTTAATTTTTATACTTCTATATTCATTATACGTATATAATAAATAAATTAAATACTGATTGTTGATAAGCGCATAACTTAATTACGGATAACTCGACGAAGCTCATTTTTTTTTAAATACTCGCAGTAGTCCGAACAAAATTTTTGGGAAGGAAAATTTAAAATGTCCTAAGAACTGAAAAATAATTTGGAAAACACCGAAAGTGCTTTTTTTTATATGATATTTGTATGACTTTGTGGCCATATATGAGATGAGTATTACGTTTTTCGAGTCGGCTATAAAATATCCTAATTCTTTATGGTCAAAACAACGTTCAATGGGTTAGTAAGTTTAACTGTAGCGCTGATAACATTATCAATCACATAAAATCTATATGATTAATATGAAAAAACTGAAGAATTAGTTTTTGTTCGAACAAAGGTAGGCATTTGTACATTGACAGTATGGTAGTGAACAATTGAAAAAAAATTTAATTTTATACGAAGTATTATTTTTTAAGTGTTTAGGGACTAATACTATATAAACTCTTTATTAAAAAAAAAAGTAATACTATTATAACAAATAAATTATCATGATTATAAATTACTAAATACACTAAATAAACAATTTCTTCATTTACTTTTTTTGAAGATAAAATACCAAAGTATGTTTGCGCTAGGTATCTAATTATATGAGATGGTACACTAAAGTAAACTATTAATCTTACAATAATGTGTGTTATGCAGAACCAGTTTTCGACCAAATCGATTTTTTTATTTTATTATAATTAAAAAATAAATAACCATATCTACTTGAAATCTACTCTAAATATTGATATTAACATTTTTTATATACAGTATAATTTTCAAAGTATCTTTTTAATTTACTTTTTTCATGACAATTTGATAGATCTTAAATGTTGAAAATAAATTAAATTTTTTGATGGGGAAGAAATTATTTTGATTAAGTTAGGCCTCAGCTTGCTAATTTACCTTTTGAAGAATTTGTTAAAAGTGACGCTTTTTAAATTTATTCAGAGATAAAGAAACTTGGTCTCCTATAATTTCCTGCTCACCCTTTCCACATTGACCCCTGCGTATCTACATAAATAATATGTGAATTCATATGTCATACTATTAAAAAAAAATAATATTTTTAAATTTGTTTAATATTTTATTAACATTTCGTTTATATAACTAGTGGAAACATTGATTATATATAAATAAAACGTTATGATAATTATAGCTTGTTCTTAATAAAAAAAAATATCCGTTGGTGGATTGCTCAGCCTGATTAAGTATCTAGTTTAGGTAGGTACATGTACATCGATGATGATTGAAAAAGGTGAAATTTTTGATGTGACATAATAGCGATATAAAAAATATGCGTTTATAGGTCTTGGAGAAATTTAAATGATTAAGTACATGTATTTATGTCAGTGGCACTGTAGCCTGCAATGGTAATTGATTTTATCAATTATTATAAATCGTTTTTTTAAGTAATTTTAGTAATTATTATTATTTTCGTTAAAATGTTTTAAAATTCAATATTTGTATATTACATTACGTTTTACCATTACTATTGTTATAATGAGTTTTTTTTCTTATTGGCTACGATAAAATGTAAATTAAACTGAATTTTATAAACATAACAAACACTCTAATGAACGTTGAAATGAATAATAAAATTAATATACTTCAATCATTTACAATTGTAGCTGTAATGTTTTTCATTATTTTTATGCTTTTTATGAAATACATTCCACTATACCGATATGTATACAGTGATAATTTTAATAATGTTTCAGTGAGTATTGATTACGATTTTAGAATTATAAAATAAATTAGTGTAAGTACTTACGTTTTACCACCAGGTTTCGAACGAAAATATTAAAAATAACACTGATTTGTCTCCGCCATTAAAATCACCCATTTTGTTTCTTATGGTAAATTTTTTGTACGCGTACACCATTATAATAATTATTATTTGTTTTTATGGCCTATACAAATTTACTGTAACGAATGAAATTTTTCCGATTGGAAAATGTTCAAGACGATCCTGTGATATCGAGAGCGACAAAACCAGTACTAGTGAAATCGTTTTGATTTCTCAAATCACAGAGGAAGTTGAATTGATTTCAGAGAATATTCCATTGCAAATTTTACCAGAAATATCAGAATCTAATGCTACTGATTACCATTGTTCGTGGGTCGGCGATTGGAACAAATATTAAAACTATAAAACCAATTAGGTATTATATTGATTTTATTTAAAATTATTGAAATGATTCTACGTATTATGCAAGATAAGTACGTGTATTGATAATGTATCATTTATTGTTATAAGTTTAAATATTTGAAAATAATTACTATACTATTTGTTTGTATGTATTCAAACATAAAATAGATTTCATGGTTTCGAGCTACTACATAATTTACAACTGATTTTCTCCATTGAACCTAAATATTTAAAATTACTTATAACGTCTTAAATTATAATCTTTGTAATTAAGTCTCAAAAATGCTGACTTAGCAATTAAAATATCATAGATAAACCAAACAAAAATATACAAAGACTTATAAATCTATATCCTAATTATAATAGTGTTCTAAAATATGCAAAATTAATTCGATTTTAATGATGAAATATTTCTTGAGTAGACTAAATAGTAGGTAAATATTAATATAATTTATCAATATTTTAAAATAAAATATAGTTCAATTACACAAATTATAGTATAGTATGGTTTTATTACCTTTGACATAAATACGAAATTCTATAATTTTTTCATATTTTTTGCTACTATAACTTGTAATTTTAATAATGTTATAATTATAGCCGAAAAATGGACGAGTTCTTTTTCAAATCATTATTATTAAATACCTATCAGAATTTTAAATCATGATTATTAATTCCTATCGGAATATAAAGTATTCTAGATTTACGAACCATTATTTCATAATTATTTTTTAACAGTACTTACAGTAACAAGTAGTTTTCCACTTTTATTTTATTTCAATAACAAAAATAAAAAATAAATTATGATAATAATTCAAGTATTGGTAATTTCGTTTTATAGCTTCCTGCATATCTGTATGAGTGGTATGTATATATTCGTATAAAATAAAATAAAATACCTATTTCTGTAAAATCTGTATATCTAGTATTTCTCAGTAATTTAGCAGTATGTAATTATTTTCCAATATTAGATTGTATAAAAATGTGTCATTATAATAATAAAACATCATTGAAAACTTACTTAGAATCTAGTTAATTATGAAATTTTGTTAGCGATTATAGTAAGTTAAACTGCAATAATTAAAATTGGTACCACGAGTTCACAAGTTTTATGATCAAAACTTATAGGGAATTTTTTCTCATGTTGATGGTCTGTGTTTGTTATGACTATTGCAAGTAATCTATCATTAATTATATTATTATTGATTAATCTAGTCTAATCATCATAATCTCATAGTATTTAACCCAGCCACTTTATTTTAATGGGTTTTTGATACAGCAACATTAGCTGTTTATTATGGCATACATATCACCTCTCTGTTTCAATTTAAAGTATGAATAAATTAATGAACAAATCGATCAAACTATAAGCTATTATACATATAACCATATTTATTATTTTTTCAACAGATTATAACACGTTTGATTCTTATTAAAATATGCGTATACAAATATTTATTGAAAAAAAATACTTTTATTTTTTTTTAATATCAAACTGATATTTGTGATGTATGTAAATAGTGTAAACTATAATACATATATAATTTGGTATTATTCAACAACAAAAATAATTACAAATCAAAAGAAAAAATCTTTTCACATTAAAAACTATAAAATTCTAATAAAATATTTCATATAAAATTAAAAAATATCACATTACAAAACAAATTCCATTAGAAAAATTGTTTTTTTTTTTTTTGTTTGTCTAATTATTATTACAAGATACCTATTTATGGTTCATATTACGAGTATATTGTTATAGTGATATGAATTTGGCATATTATGACTTAAAAGTTTTTGATTGAGTTTAATGTATACAATAACATAATAACTTAATTTTAGCATCATTTACACAAATACTTTGATTACCATATACATTTAATCTACTTACTGAACCTACCATTTTAAAATTACCGTTATGTTGCCTTAATGTTGCTTCGAATTTTGCATATCCAGGAACCGTAGTTACTTGTATCTCGTAATCTTTCACTGAAGAGTTATGTTTTCCCATTTCTACAGACGCTTTATGGATCTCATACAGCGTTAGATATGCGCAAAGTGTATACATCGATAATTTTGAATTTACATATAGCATTAATATTTTTGCCGCTTCAACGACGTTTAAATCGTCTACCGATAATTCCATCCTCTTTTCGTGGCACGCACAATAGTTTTTGGGTATTCCAGCTGTTTCGCAAGTTTTATTTTCTGGAATCTCAAGAAACAGACTTGTACCTCTTTTATTTTTATTTTTATTCATTTTCGTTCGTCTCTCAATTGAATTGTCATCAAGCTGTTTTGTGTTGATGAACTCCAATAGCGTCTCGTGTAAATCATACGGTGTTGTAAGGCGAATTGTGTTTTTTTTCAAATTTTTCATTGCGCTGGGATACATATTTTGAAACCATTCTGGTATGATGAATTTCAACATGGGTAGTTTATCTTCTAAACTACCCTGGTAAGTGTCTCTAAAGGATCCCCACCTTATTCCGTGATCACTCATTAGTACGACAACCGTTTTGTTAAGTTCACCAGATTTATTAAACACATCAAAAAAATTCCTTAAATCATCGTCACCAAATTTCGGATACTCTAGGTAATCGTGCGTTAGGCTCGTCGTCCAAAATACATTCATGTATAAGTGATTAGTCAAAGATAATGCAATTTTAAAAGCATAATCAAGCAACATGGTCATACCCAACTGAGGGCCAATACAACCTATTGTGTTTCCAATAGTTTCGTGTCCTAAGTTTTTTTCAGCCTGTAACATGATAGGTCTTAAATAATAGTCTGTGGGTTTTTTTAAAAATCCAGATTTTAAATAATTGAACATTCCAATTATAGGACTATCCTCTACAAAAGATGTGCTAAAATTAGCATTTTTATAATCATTCCAAACAAAATGACACTTGTCAAAAAAGTCTTCATATTTAGGCCAACAACTTATTTTCAACTCTTCTATTGACATTCCGCTTAGTACAGGAATTACATTTGGAAACGTGTTATCCTCAACTTTATTATAACCTAACATTTCTACAGTGCCAATTTTAGATAGGAATGCACTGGTTTTTGGCATGTGACGATGAAAGTTCATACGAGATACTGAATCTAAACCCAAAACTAATACACTTACATCTCCGTCTTTTCGATTGATTACAGATGAAGTTGGGCGTATGAATATATGATAATATTTGTAAATTATATTTGAATTTAAAGTACATACTACTTCAACCATTTCGTCTGGAACTGTTATATTGTTTACAAAATATATTTTCTCGCCAAGTCTGTTTAAAAAATAAATAAATTCACAATTATACACATAATATTGTATTATAAGTAAAGATAATAAGATTATAAAATATAAATAAATTATAGTTTTTTTATTTTTTTATTGCAGTATCTTATATGATAACATAATATAATATGTTATATCATTAAATGTATGGTGTTTCCTACCACTAAATTTAAAATGAGTTTTGTGTGGCAAATTCTTTAACCTAAAAGATTAAGATTAGGATTTTTGATGTATTAATTCTACTATTTTGTTCAGTTGGTTCGTTAGTGATTCAGATAGTTTTCTGTTTTCTGTTTTATCATTTTTTATGTGTTGAATTAATTATTGTTATTTTTTTATGAAAAACGTATTAACGGAACGGTGCTAATTACCCGTAAATAGCTGATAAAAAGTAGTCATTCAACGGTGATACATTTTTTTGACTTGTATTAATTTTTTTACATAAAATCTCTGCACCATTGGTGAGCTAATCGTCTAGATGAGTTTCTGGAGATACTACCTATTTGATTTCAGTCCTTTATTGAGAGGTTTAGAATGATAATATGGTTGACTAAGCGGAACCGGAATCGTTTATAGAAGATTAATTAAATTTTGAATGTTATGTGATGTTTATGGGTGAGTCGGTGTGTAAAATATGATTATAGAGTTATAGACGTAAAATGGTATACTTTTTATTAAAATTTGAAATTAAAAGTCTATAAAAAAAATATATGTTTATTTATTTTTATGATGTTTCTTAGAGTTTCTTTCATTACAGTATAAATTAATACTACTAGAAAGCTTTTATTAAATTTCCAATAATTAACTAAAATAATTGAACATTTTATAATTTTTATGAATTTATAAATATTGAACTTTTAATGACTTTAGTAAATAGTAATAGTTATTTTAAAGACAAATTGAATGTTGAAAAATTATATTTAAAATCCTTATAAAAAAATTAGTGTAATTTTTCAGTTAAATTTTATTTTTTAAATAGATTTCCTATCTTAAATTATATATGGTTAAGTACTGTATAATAAATTAAAAATTAAATATACAATTTAAAAATTTCTGATATCTTATTTTTTAAGAAATTTCAATTACTAAACACCTTGTTTTAAATATATTAATTTATATTTGAGGCAAAAATCATTTGTTTGTATATTTGTTTGCTGATGCATTATGTAAGTTTAAAATATCCGTGAATTTCGAGCTTTTTTTAGTTATATCAAATGTTAAATATTCTGTTCTACTAAGGTTAAAAAATAACATGAAATTGACCCTAGTACTAGTAAATAGGTATATACCGAGTGATTCATTAAGCATGATTTATCTTCCTTTCTTTCAGCTATGCAGTTATTCAAAATATAAATTTTAGAATTTTCAATTACATATAAAAACTATATTTTTAAATTCTAAAGATTTTATTGTACTACCTACTTAAGAAAAAAATTGTTTTTTCGAATGACAACCCCTTTTTATAGTTTTTAATAAAATTTATAAAAGAGATAATTTTTTGAAAATGTTAGCGTATTAAAATTAAAATTAGTAGTTTTTTTTAACTTTGTCTATTAAAGATAATAGATCCACGATAATAGTTTTGGGAAACATGGAGGCTATAATATAGTGACCTGACTGTTTTAGTAATTAATATTAATTAATTATTATTTATAATTTGATTTTTAAAATGGTCAAAATATAAGAAGTAGTAAATTTAGTTAAAACTAAATTCAATATTATGCTAATTTTATACTTTTGTAATAGTATTTTTAAGGAAAATATTTTAAGTATTTATTTTAATGATTAAAGACTATTCATTCAAATTTTAAAAAAAAAATGGATATATAATATAAGTATTTGAAAATTCCAAAAAAAAAAGAATTTTGATAAATTCATTGTTTAATAAAAAAAAAATGAAGGTGAGCATGCTTATAGATTACCTTTTATATTAATAATCTTAAAATAGAAAATTACTCTTACTTCACGTTATTATCGTTATATTCTTTAGCATCTTGATGGCTTTCATATGCTGATCTTTCTACTGGAGTATAATAACATTTGAAATTTGTATCTTTCTCACTGATATTTAAAGTAGCCCATGCACTCATATTCAATATTAGAGATGTTAAGTTTGAGGTAATTAATGGCAAAGTATAATTCCATGTCGTTTTGCAATTTAGTCTTATGTTTGGATTGATATATTTTACTACTTCAGATCCTTTCAAATACATCTCTGGGATTCGACATCCTGATGTGTTAATTAAATATCCCGAATTATCTAAAACAAATAACAATAATTAATTAATGTTGGTTTATCCTTTATATATTAAATATACAATTTTAAATGAATAATTATTTATTCAAGTTCTTTAACGGGAGAGAAGTAACAATATTTAGTTACGGATGTTACGTAACGACTGTTGAATTTTCTAAAAAATTTAAGTTCTCGTAAAAGCCCTTTAATTTAAAACTATAATGTACTAATCCATTTTTATTATTATTATTTTTTTTTTACTATTAGTTATTCATCTTATTATAAATTCAAAAATATATGAAAAATAGAACGGTGTTAGAGATTTTATAAATCTAAATTATACATTTATTTCCAATTTTTAAATTTCTTACATCACTTTTTTTTATAAAATTTTACTGTCTTAGTGTCGTCAGTTTTAAATGCTACTATAATTTAGTATTAAAAAAATATTTATTTTAAATTTTCAACAGTTTAAATTGGTCAATCAAATCTTATAACAACTGATATTATTTAATAAAAAATATAATCTATAGCAAACGAAAATAATTATCATATTATGTTAATTATTGAAAAAATATATCACAGCAAGTATTTTTGTGTTGGTTTAATCTAGAAACAACTTTAATTTATAAGGGCCATATACTGTATTCTGAATAAGTTGAGAACTTTAACACAATAGATATTTATGTAAATTGAAAAGTTTACTACAATAACTTTTAATATAATTACAATATACATTAGGTTCTATAATATTATTTCACGTCTATAAACAAATTAACAATAAAATCTTATCAATACTTCGATATGTTTACAATTGATTTAAATAATAAATTTTATTTTTATGTTTGAATATATGCCTATTTGGAATTTAAAAGATTAATTTATCTGTGTGAAATAAGTTCTGTAAAATGTTTCATAATGCAACCCGTAATTTGTTTGAATTTTTAATTTATGTCTCACAACATATTATATAATATTAATTGGATAGTAATTTAGCACTTACCGTAGTCTAAGATGGATGTACGTGGTTCACTGAGAATCAAATCGAATGTAGTCAACGAATTATATGTGTAAGTCCATATTATTACTACGAATAATAAAATCCACAGCATGAATGTTTTTGGTTTTAAAATATGCTTAATCGTATTTAACATTGATCTATAAAGAAATTTCAAACGTATCTTTTACTCAAAGTAAACAGTATTTATTAAAATAAAATATTTATGATTAGTGGATTTTAGCAACTAAGAAAAATTAAGGTGAACCTATTTCATAAACACACACTATTTTAATGGCTGAATAATAAAATTGATTGTGTTACAATCAATTTAAACGCGACAGATTTATTGTGCGTCACTTTGAATAATTTTTATGTGAGTGTACATAGTATATATACTATATATGTTTCATATAATAAACAACAAAGAGGGAATAACGAACATGCACATATATGAACCTATATTCAATAACAATAATAATAATAATAATAACGTTTAATCGCGATTTTAATGTGCATAAGTAGATGGTATTTATAAAGATTAAATAGTTTGTAAAATGATTGATAATAGTTTGATATAACAAAAAAGAAAAAAATATACATCTTTGAAGCTGAATGATATTTTTACTACAGAATACTTGTCATTTTGAAAAATATTAACATTTTTTGAAAATATTTTCTTGTACTTCATTTGAATTTCAATTTTCAAATGAAAATTTTCAACAAAAAAACCATATATATATTTTTAACTTATTATATTTTGGAGTATTTTGATGTATAAAAATAAAAATTTTGAATGAGTATAGTTAATTTAAAATATTTAAAGTTTAAATAAATGAAGCAGTTAATCAACATTTTACGGAGCATCAGCGGTTGATAAAGGGGTTTGCTGTTTGATTATCTAACTTTAAATACATTATGGTATAACTAATAAATCATAAATTATACGTACTTTAAAGTACTTTGAATTATAAAGTTATTAACTATAACGTCTATAACTAATCATTTGAAATACGTTCAAAAATATTCTGATTCTGAGTATGAAATAAAAAACATGAATTGTTAATGAGTGTATGAGCTCTCTTACTAAGTACTTACTAGTAACTAGCTATTTGAGTGAAGTATATTCAATATTATATTACACTACTATTTTTGAATTTTAATAATTTAAGTCTTTAAGATAATAAAGATATATGTTTCTTTTTTGTGGTTGTCGTCATATTTAGGAGCGGTTAACATTTTGCAACTTAAAGGTGGCTTTTTGTAGAAAATTGAATATATTTGGTGTTTTATGGGATTAAAATTAAAAAAATCCAAGTAATTAAAAAAATATTTGGGGAAAAATAAAATTAAAAAAGCAGAGCAAGTGGGTATCGTTTTGTTCATTGCTGTATAATTTATATCGATTTGTTCACTGTTAGGATATGTTGGATTTAAATTCAATGATTAATCATTGTATACGAAAAACAATTCTGAGTGGAAATGGTCTATTAGCCGTACTCCTAATTACTAAGTATTATGTATTTTTCTTATTTCCATAAAAGTAGTTGAATTTACCACTAGTATTACTTTAAATTGTTATTAACTTGTATACCGCAAAACAATGCAAACATGCTTATAGTATAGATAATAATAGCTTAAAATTAATCAAGATATTTTAAAAATTTCATCGTGTATAGTAAAATGTACAATATTTGCAAAAGTTCAATAAAACAATACGAAATATATGGTTGTAGTTATTCAATATTTAAAATGAATAGTGTTATACGCTTATATTAAAATATTATTACATTAAATATTCATTATAAAATTTAGAACAATCTTTAAATTCGGTAACTATTTGACTCATTTTTTATCTTCTATTTGTATACCTACTTGTATTCTTTATTTCATACCTACATACAATTATAATAAAATTACTATAACTAATTATTTTTAAGAGATACATTTCTATATTATAAAATACATGTTTGATTATGCTAATTTAGATATTGTTTTAAAGGTATTTTAACCTATAATAGTAGGATAAAATAATTAAAAAAAACTAAGTTTTGATAATTAATTGTGATTTTTAATCGGTAATTACCGTAATTTATAGTTTAAAAACTTTGAAATGCTATTAATTACATATTTATACTTGTCTTATACATACACATAATTGTTATAACATGCAATGAATAGCGTTAATCGCATATATATTATGTAATATTTATAGTACAAGCGCATATCGAGTTTCACGAAATAATTAAGTTTAAGTACCTACTACCTACATATATTTTTCCAATTCAAATAAGTTATTTACAATCTTTTAACTAAAACAATAAGTACATTTTTGTACGAACTAAGAAAATTAAGGATCGCATAGATAACTTGTGAAATAAGTAAGTTCACTGACGGTAATTCAGACAGTCAGACCTATGTAACTGGATTAAAAAAAATAAATATTATTTAGGTAACAATGAAATAAGTGTTGGTATATAATTTAGAATCTAAATTTTTTAGATGAAGTTAAAAGACATCACTTGGAAACTGTTTGTTTAATAACTAAGTCATAGACTTTAAAACACTAAAAAAAACTATTTTATAACTTAATAATCTTAAAATATTTGCTCTGATATATAAATAATATGTTCTAAATATTAATTTAATATGTAAAAACAGTAACGAAAAATAAATTTGGTTATGTATTATGTAGTAATTATACTGATAATAATGTTCTAACCAATTTATTCTTTAAGTTATGCGTCGAACTGCTAAAATAGGCTATTGTTTATTATTAAAACAGATTTATAGATGAATTTGTTATTTATTTTATTTTTTTATTTTTAACCTCTATTAATAAACTACAATCTATGAAAACTATATAATTAATCTGATTTTGAATGAATATTAGCAAAAATAGTACAAATTAAAAATATTTAAAACATTCTACATAAATATTGTTGTATTTGAAAACTATGATGTAAAAACAACATTATAGCTAGGTACAGTAAAACCTGTAAGTTGAACCTCAATTTGAAATAAATTTAATTCCCTTACAAAATCCTCGATTATTCGAAAAAAAAAAAACTTTAAATAACTCGAAAATTCCGCGTTTAAAATATAGACGATTAATTATTGTTGGATTTTATGATTATATTTTAATTTTATTTGCCAGTTATATAAGTGATAAATAATATATATATTATATATATTATTTATCACTTATTAATATCGCCCATATCGGAAGTTTTATTCTAAAAGAAAAAGCAAAAAAAATTGCAAAATCATTAGGCCACGAAAAATTCAAAGCCACTAACGATTGATTTGAAATTTTTAAAAAAAATGGTATGAAGAATCATTTTAGCCAGTATCTCATGTTTCAGTAAAATATTCAAAAACTGCTCTTACATTTCTTAGAACATTTACCGAATTCTAGTGATGTGGACCATAAAGTATATTATGATTTAAATGTGATAAAAAATACTATTGACAATATTATAAGAAATAATCTAACTCAAAGTTATATCTTAAATTATTTTTTGTATACCTATTGTAACTAACAAAAATAAAATATCTTAATAAATTTAAATACTCTTTAAAGTCGATTTTTTTTTTTAAACCCTGATAACTCGAAAACCATAGTAAGTTGAAAACCTTAATAAGTCGAAAAAAATGTATTTCCCTTGAATTTCGACTTATTGAAGTTCCACTGTATTTTGGTTATAAATTATAATAATTTTATTATTACCACTATGCTACTTTTTATCTGTATTTCTTTTTCTATTAAAATTATTAGAAAATGCTGAAATGCTTTAGAATTCTACTCCTATTATACTCAATAACATAAATTATTAATACCTATAATATTTTAAAAAATGATTAATAATCGATTATACATTTTCAGCATTATTTAGCTTTAATATTTCTATAGTAATTTTTAATGATATTAATATTATACTATTTTTCAAATTATAAGCTACTACCTATCAAGACTTTAGGAATTAATAAAATAGATAAAATAATTTAAATTTGAATAATATAATAAACCATTTTGAATTTAATTTATGTTTTACAATTACGGAGAGTAAGTAATATACATAATATATGTATATTACTTACATAGTAAGTAATATACATAATGTTTAAATAAAAACATTTATTTTTTTATTTTATGTTTTTTAGTAAAAACAATAAAGATTAATTTTCACATAAGTAGTGAACCAATACAGCATAGTAAAAAAAATATATATAATACTAATTAAATTATATTAGCTATGATTATGGAATCGATTCGAGTCATTAAAATTCCGTTAAAATGTGTTTTCCATTATAATCAGTTAACATTTTCATAACAATAAGTTTCTTTAACAATTCTAAATCCTTATTTAATTATATGTGCATATTTTATTTTATTTATAATTTAGCCATTTAAGTGTTTAAAATAATTATTTGAAGTTATAAAATTCTACTACTATATGAGCAAAGTTTGCAAGTTAAAAATGTCAAAAAGTTATTTGTATTTGATTGAGAATTAAATAAAATTTTCAAAAACTTATAATCAGGAAATAATTAGGTAACATGTTTAGTGGGGCAGGACTCTTTTCGCCCATGTCTCCTTTCGCCAAAAAATGCATAGCACTTTTTTACCACATTTTTATAATACATACTTTGTTTGGGAAATACTTAATTATTAATTTGTGTAAATTAGTTTTATAAAGTCATTAAACATTACTCAGAGAGTGCCACAAGGAGGCGGCTTTTATTACTCTCTAAAAATGTAATTGTATATGTACATAAGTAAATATTTATTATTTATTACATTAATGTGTTAAGAATAAAATATAATGGATTTAAGTTAAGAATATTATGAATTAAAATAAAAAATAAATATTTGAATAAATCAAACAGTCAGATAGTAGGTCTTCAACAAGACAATTTGCTACTTCATCAGGATTTAAAAATACCAAACTAAATGTATACTGTATTCACTTACCAATTTCTGAAGATTCGTCTCTATAGAAAGAAGTCAAACTACACTTTTACAACTGCACTGGAATAGTTTGTCTAGTTGTCAAATATTATTAAGCTTATATACAATTATTATTATTATTATTATCTTATCTTTATGACTTTATAGTATGTCATGTAATAATAAGCGGACCGTACCAGATAAGTCTATCTCATATACTTATAGTTTTTTAAATGTTAGTATGGCCTGTTAGTACCTTTATAAGATATTGAGTGAAGTATTTTAGACATAAATTTATAATCAGTGCTGTATTATCCATTAAGTAGAGTAAGCGCCCGCCTTAGGGCCTAATTCATTTAAGGAGCCATGTGATAACGAAAAATCCTATTTTTATTTATTTTATAATACCTATATTTTATCACGAATTTAGAAACAAAAGTCAATATAAAATAAAAATATTAAGTTGTAGGTATGTAGTAATAAAGAAAAAAATTATTTTGAGGATTTTGTCGTCGTGGTAAATAGGTAATATTGATTATATTATATAATCTGGCGGAAACAATGATGACGGTAATTTAAATAATTACATAACCGTCGTGCTTTGCTATCTAATCGACCAAGTGAGCGATTCCTAATAATCAGTGGCGCCAAACACTATGTTAATGTAGGAAAATTGTCTTTCATATAAAATAGAGTAAATATATTTTGGTAGCTTAAACAACCGCATGTGTGGTGGGTGGAAGTTTATTTTAAATGTTTGTCCTACATATTTTTTTTTACTTCGGCGCCACTGCTAATAATTATTTGTATAAATAAGAATAATAAATTTTAATGGTACTGGGTAATAAACTTTTTCGAAGTTGAAATTGTTAAAAATTTTCATCGATCTTCAATAATCTAAGAACGTTTAAATTCACTTGCTATTATGATTACAGATAATATTATTTTACAAAGAACAGATTTCAAAAATATTCTCGAAGAGTTTACTGCAAAAAAATTAAGAAGAGTTAATATTTGAAAATCAAATGTTTTTTTTTAATTAAAAATAATAATTTATTTTAAGTTTTTTTTTTACAGTTTAATAAAAAAAAAAAAAAAAAAAAAAATAGAAATAATAAAATAATAAATTAATTTTAATTGTAAATGAAAGAATTTAATAAATATAATTTTATTCATTTATATTAGTTTATTAGTTAGTTTTTATTAAAGCCGTTTATTTTAAGTATTGAATAGTAAAGTTAAAGATGTAAGTATGTAAGTAAAAAATAACTTTGTAGGGGCCTAACATTTTAATTGCTTAGGGACTCGCAATTGTTTAATCCAGCATTGTTTATAATGGACATAAATAATTTAAAGTAAGTGTTTTACAGAGTGTGTTTAAAATTGTGGTCAAAAAATGCTATACTATTTTTGGGCGAAAAAGAAAAATAGTTTTTAAATATTTGGACGAAAAGCGATAGGTTATTTTTGGGCGACGTGGTCCTGCCTGTTTTAACGTAATGCAAACTGTCATTCCGTCATGATAGATCTTTGGAATTTTGAAAAGTTGATAATCACGAACCTTTATGAGACAGGTATGTATAAATTTTAATTTTTGTAGGTATCTATTGAACAATAACAGGTTTAATTATTTTTTACGTGCAAAATAGAAGTACGCAGGCATATTTATAAAGCAAATGTACACAGCATTAAAGTAATTGAACTGTAATTACATTTATTAAAATATAGAATCTACATTGCTATACATGACCAAAATATTAAACGCAACAAACCAAGAAAAAAGTATTAATTTTCTAAACTTACTACCATAATATTAGCAAACAATGACGCTACAAAAAAACAACATAGTAGCTTATAAATAACTAAAATTTATGAAAAAAATTAAGATTATGTTAACTAATATACTCGTTTATTTTTAGAAATAGGTATATGATGAGTAATGACTCTTTATGTACAAAATATCAATGAGTAGGTATAATGACATATTTTTATTGTGAAATAAATTATTCATAGTATTGTATACCTACTATTTTTTTATATTGTATTGCTGGTATGACGGTCTGTATATCTCTTTACATTAAACTGTATCATTTTACATATAAAAGTACAACTTTCTAAAAGAGCTACAGAGATACAATTATTTTTTTTTTCATACGAAATATGAATACTAAACTGCTTCATCTGTAGACTGTAATCACTAATTGGCATTGGATAAAAATATATATCCATAGAATTTAATTATAAAAACATAACAATGTTCATCAACAATCATTTGTTAAATGTATTAAATTCAATCACGTAAAATTAAAAAAAAAAAAAAAAAATTTACAAATATTCAATATAAATTATAAAGGATTAACTGTATATTATAATTATTTAAATAAAATTATAATTGTAGTTATGTGTAAAAATGTTTTTTATATTTTACTTTAATAGTATTTACATCATATTATAAACTTTTCAACTTTTTCTTGTACTATATTATAGAACAATATATTATCATGAGTAATATTTATTATTTAGTTTTGAATAGAAAATTTAATTAAAACACGTTCATTTTGAACACAATGTATATTATGTATAATATACACATATATTTTTTTAATTGCGATATTACAACTTTTCAAATTTATGATTTATGTGGTTATTTATAGTTCTACAAAAATTTTATGAGTACAAGGAGAGAAAATTAATAAATCACATGATGAGAGGTCACGCGTAACCTTTGAAAAATTTCATATTTTTTAGCGGATAACATAATACTGTGAATATTATATTACATTGAAAAATGTGTCCATTATTCTCACAGAAGGAAATAATACACATTTTTTATGTATTGTGCTAGATATTTTAAGATTGGCATTTAAACATAAATTATATAAATGACATACAATATAAAAAGTCAATTTTGGAATATTTCAGTAATTTTCCAGACAATTATGAATAATCCTGATGAATCTAGAAAGGTTTAATTTTTATCGAATACTATTTAATTATTAATTTATTGTACTTGAAATACCTCAAAAAAAAAAAAAAATGTAACGAAATTCCAAAGTTTGTTATTTTGCTTACTTTAAAGTCAATCAACTTGGTGTTATTAGTTTAAGTCAATATAAAATACGTTCCTTAATAGTTATTTAATAAATAATTTTTAGGAATATTTTAAAAATGTTTAACATAAGTAGCATTAACAAGGTTAAATAAAGTAAGGTCTCAATTTTAATTGTTTTTAATATTTATTAAATATATTAGAAATAAGATGTGGTATGGTAGTATGAATTGATATTATACACTTGAGTATTATTCCTACTTCCCAGAATATATGCACAATATCCACCATACCGAAAGTTTATAATGAACAATTTACATTTTAAATAAGTTATACCTAATAGTTGATGAAAAAAAAAAGGAATATAATATGATATTGCTAATATTTATTACCTAATAATTTACTATTTTATAAATGTTTAATTTAATTTAAAAAAAAAAGTTACAATAATAATTAAATAAAAAAACACAGTTATGATTCACGAAGTAGATTACTCCTGGGTAAGTAGGTATGAATAGGTCGTTGCTGGAATCTAAAAATCACATCAAATCGAACATAAATTTTTTATAATTTTGGAAAAAACCATAACTTTCTTATATTTTTAATAATACATTTTTAATAACCAAATTAACGATCAATATTTTTAACTAAAATTAAGTCAATACTTTATTTTTAATTTTTTAACTCACCAACTCAATAATAATATTTCCAAAAAATTTAAAAGTATTTGGTTATCATACGAAACCTTAAATAATCGATATGTCATATTTTAAAAAGTATTTTAATGAGCTTCAACTTATTAAGAACTTAAAAGTTGAAATAGTTATACAACGTAAGCATTAAACCCCTTAATTATTTTAATTGGTTCATTACTTTATTATTATTATTTTTAACAGTACCTAAGACATTTGGAATAGCATAAACCTATTGTCTAGTCTTAACACAGAACTATTTTGAAAGATTTGATTAGTTCAAAGAATATCGTACTTTAAAGTTTAAATATAATAAATATAATTAGTATAATAATTTCGACAAATTATAAAAAAATTCACATATTTTACTTAAAAATAAAAAACTAATATATAAATTATACTTGAATTTATTTAATTTATTACTCGATTAATCTTTTTAAATTTTAATTTTTTACATAAATTTAACCTAAAAAACCTATGTACCATAAAAATCAAATTTCTCGTTACATTATAATAAAATATTTATCATTTAATAAATTATTTAAAAATATAAAATTATTGTTGAATACTATTTTTAATTTTTTAAGTACCTATTAAAAATTAATTAAATATCGAAAATAGGTAAATTTAAATAATTTTTTGTATTTTCATTAACAACTATTTTTTTTAGTTAAAAATTTATAATGTATTTTCGATTAAATTTTTTAGGTAAATATATTTAAAAAAAATCTATTAAAATGCATAAGTAGTCTACAATTTTAAATTTAATTATCTAATATTTATTTATTATAGATACAATTTTTATATGTTATCAACCAAACTTACTTTTATGATTTAAAAGATATCTTAACGAAAGAATCGGTTCAAGTAATTCTTGCGATCTTCTTCCATTTCACGAAGTCTACGAGCTTCTTCGGTTTCGCGAATTCTTTTTTGTGTCAAGTATTCTTGTTCTTCTTCGGGAGTTAGAGCAGAAAATTCAAGAATTCGCTCTTCTACCGGCATACTTTCAAGGAAATTCATTAACCTATACATTTCGGGATGTTGCATGATCTCTTCATTTGAGAGGTTAGATGGTTCTCGAGCCAAGGAAATCCTTACTCTGCGGAAAACATGAGTGACGGCGTTTTTGTCCTCGGCCGTTTTATCGGACTTTGATACAATACCAGGCATGATTAATGGTCCAGCGACAGTACTATCGTACATACAATAATATAATACAATATATCACTATTTAAAAAGTAATCATTACATTAATAAGCATAGTATTTCATCAAACATTTTATTTATTTGTGTCTAAAGAAATGTGATAGTATTGTAATATATATTTACGTGTATTGCATATAGATTTTATCACTATAATTTATTAGATACCTACTAGACATCAAGATATAATATATATGACATTTTAAATATTTACAAATAAACTATTTAAAAATGCTCATTTATTAAGAATTTTTTTTTTCATACCTACTTATATTTGATATTGAAAATTAATTTAAAACTAATAATAGATAAATTGTGATAAATTGTAATATAAATATTAACAAAATTCAAATACTTTACTAAAAATGAACTATTATATAGATAATTAAATAGATAAACAGTAAATATTAATTTTTGTACATAAATCTTTATACGTTAATATTACCTAATTAATTAATTTGTTTCATGCGCCTAATGTATAATTTTTCAAGTCTATGCCTGAAATGTAATGCATGATAATATATTGTTCAATTTAACCGTTGTTAAATTTTAAATAAATTTAAAATTGAAAAATTGTATATTTATGCGAATTTATTGAAGTAAAAAAGTAATACATAATATTTATACCATTATAGATATAACAACAAATAGAAAATTCACAGTAAAATCTGCCACAACTACATTAATATTTTTACTAAATTTAATATGTCTTAAAACCTTTTTGACCGACTATCGCAGTTTTATATTAGATTTTACATTAACAAATAAATTATACATCAAATCAATTTTATCGTTACATAATAATATATAATGCTACGAGTGTATACATTTTATCATAATGTATACTTCTTTAGAATTTGCATATTATAGTAGAAAATCACTAAAATGTATTTTATAATATAATATCTGATGTCTACTCATGTATGAGGTAGGTTTAAATATTTCAAAAATTATAAAATTATAAAATTCGAATTTATTAATATTTAGAAATATAGCTATAGGTATATATATTGTATATATTCTATTTTTAGAATATTGTATTTAGCCACTTAGGTAATCCTTGATATCATATTTTACGTATTATTTTCTATCCATAATGTGCGCCTACCATATGATACATAACCCGATCTTATAGGTATTTATAAAAATATAAAATTATTATACTTTTTAAATTTAGTTAAGTATACTCGTATGAGGTAATATTATTTTAATTTAAAGTATATTTTATGCTGTGAAACATTTTTGTAAGTCGATAGTCATTATTTTTATTTACTGGAAATAAATTAAGCATTACATTTGGAAAATTTTCGAGGATATAAGTTCACCAAAAGATAACACATAGAAATATAGAATTATTCCACGAAATTACAAATTTGTTTATTTAGGTATACTAATGCTTATATCATCTTTATTTAACCTTCAATGTTACGATTTTTTAAGAATAATTTTTTTTTTTTTTGTGTTATATGTTATTTTTCTATTTTGTTTTTATATAGTTAGCTAAATAGGTACTGATATGACTTAAATCGTTTTAAAACTAATTAAATGGACTTACAGCTTTAGCAACTTTAAAGTCATTTGGTTGTACAATAATAATTCAATTATAAAGGTTCCTTAATAGCTATTATTTAAACAGTAGTTATACAAAATAACAAATTTTTATTTTATAATATATAACATATAAATTTTGATTACTTAAACTATATTTTTTAATTGTAGGTATCTACTTATACTAAATTTTGTATTTTCTTGTATCTTTTTAAATGCTTTAATTAATAATCAATATATTGTGTCTATTGATTTTTTTAAGTATTTGTTCACAATATATCTTCATTATTAATTGTATTCATGACTAAAATTTCAATTTAAGAAATTTAAACGTGAAATAATAAAAAAGTTGTGTTGTACAATAAATACATATATAGAAATAAGCGAATATATTATCATTTCCGTTTTAACCAAATTCAATTACCAAAGATAAAATTTAATAGGCGTATTGATCAACATAAGTAATAAGAATTCAACTAATGTCTATTTAATTTACTTAGAGTCTAAGTAAGTATTATAATTTTATTATTTTTTAATGTGTTGTAATTCGAAACCTTCTTCATATAAGAAAAATATTATGTTATAATATAAATATATTTTTTAGATTTTATTCGTTTTTATGATAACTGTATGAAAAAAAAAATTTATTTCTACCAAACTACTAGATAACGAATAAAAATTATACTTAGATACGTGCATTTCATTGTACAGTATTTGAGCATTTAGTATATTACTAATTAACAATAAACAGCAAGTACAGTAAGACGTCGATAATTATTATAACTTGTTAAAATTGGAAATATAGTAAAATCTCGATTATTCGAACTTAATGGGACCTCATCTATAGTTCGGACACGCAAAAGTTCGGGTATTGGAAATACAAAAAAAAAAAACACAATAAACAAATTTTTAAAACATAGTTAAATATTTTATATTGCATATTTATTGATTATTATTATTTTATTAAAATTACATACATTACATTATTAAAAATACATTAGATACATAGGAACATGTTATGTTTATTATATTTTTTTGACAAAATTATCGATACGACTATACGAGAGCTTCAACGATTTTCAACGTTCGGATACGTTAATTGTAATTGATTAATAAAGGGTTCGTATAAAAGAGGTTCGGATAATTATTGAAGTTCTACTGTATTACAACAGTTACGTTAAGAATCACAATCGTAATACATACATATACTGATATTCACCGTAGTGTATTTAGAAGTAATGGACAAGGAAGTCGATTCCTTTAGGTTAATTTTTTTTAAGAGTAGATAGCAATTTTTAATAAAACAATGTCTAATTAATTTTTATGATTACAATAAAAATAATCAAAAATTCCGTAACAATAAGTAAATATGATATGAATGTATTTATTTTTACTTGTGTACCGCATTTATATACATATATTAAAAATTAATAAAAAGCTTTTGATCCAATTTTTTTTTCTTTCGACACGCACGCTAACATACAAACTAAAATAAATGTTGTTTAAAAAATAAACACTTTCAAATAGTAATAAAGACACTAAAATCATATTTTAAATAAACACCCACATAAATAATTAACAAAACATGTATAAATTTAATTATAAGTTTAATACATTTTTGTTTTAACGAAGTAGTGGTTTATCGACATCTCATTGTACGCTGTCTATTTATAAATACAAAAATATATTAGTTAATAGTAGATAAATAATATTTTACCAGCTACGTCTGTAGACTGTATAGTGTATATAGTATAGACGTAACAAATCGCGTGAAGTACACTATTTCTATACTAATGAACCATCTATGAAATCTAATATTGTCGTACTGAATGATACCAATCCAACCGAAGCAAAACATTAATAATACATTTAATAAAATATACCATAGGCGCACACTTAAATGTAGGTCGATGTCTAGTGGGTGGAGAGTGGAAGTATTTCTTCGATTATTTCCTATATTGTATAGATAAGCATACGAGACACAGCTGCGCATTAAGAATCATCGCGTGAACGGAAGTATAACTATTTACCACCCCATAAAGTTAAGGTCACAATTTAAGTTACCTATCTTTAAAATATTTAAGCACAGTAAAAACTTTATTCTCACTATATTAAAAATTATCTATTATTTACAGTGTAATACAAACGTATTATACTTTTTAGATATCATAAAAGATACTAACTTTTTATGAAATTCTAACACGTTATTTTTAATTTTCCTACAAATATCATAAAATGAAATATATATTTTGTATTTGAAATCTATACGTATATTGATGTTAATTTAACTTTGTGACGGTAAATAATTTCATTTAAAACCATTAAACATATTATAATATCAGTTATGATTTAACTTAACTCAAGTGGTTATAAACGCTTGTAATTTATTCGCTTCGGCCGTGAACATTTAATTAAGTAAAAATGTATAAAAAAAAAAAAAAAAAAAAAAATGCTGTTTGATTCGTAATATTTTTTGAAGCACGACATAATATATAAAAATTATCGATCAATGCACATTAATCTCCAAAAATTTGCCGCTCCGTAAAATCTTCCACACAAAATGCCTACTCACTCCCTTCGACGAACCTCTAACGATACATAATATAGATAGTTATTTGACTTTATAGCTCGTCGTCTCCACCCCTCTTGTGCGCTTACAGTAGAACGGTACACGTATACACCGTGGCACCCAAAATAGCGTAGGTATACCCACAATATTATTTTACTAGAGTTTATTTAGGCATACAGGACAGTAACAGTATCAGGCGCGTACGACAAATTACCTGCAACGATGGCTGTGTGTTTAATGGCGTGTGCTGGCCTCGGTTGTAGCACGTCGATGTATGCTGAGACGTTGAATCGTTGGGCCGGCGACGGGTGTAGCGGACGAAGAATTCGGATGACCTATAATAATTGATGACAAATTATACAACGACGTATAATTATGATGTAATATTGTAGTAGAAAAAAAAAATAATTAAAATACGCACTGCGGACAATCTGTCGTTGAGGCCTCTGCGGGTTATCAAAGAATAATATTATTTCGGTAGTTCTACGGGGGCGCAGTTTCGCATCTGCGCTATGACACGATAACCGCCTGTTTCCCGTAGCAACTGATTCTGCTGCTGCCGCCGCCTCCGTCGGTTTATCACCGAATCCTATCCTGTAGCGGCGGATCGATATGACATTATTGTGCGTGTGTGGCGTACTTACTAATATAATAGTATTATGTCGTTTCTCAAATGTCGGTCATGCCTGCCGCCAATCGCCAAGTAAAATAGAAGCACATATTGTAATAACAATAATATTGTCATCGTTAAACCGACACTTCCATGCGATCGAATAACATACAATTATTATATATATATATATTATATATAATATTTAATTAAAAACGTATTTACATTTTTTACCTTAAATATCAATACATGTTTTTGTTTTTGTATTTATTTGTTATATACTGGAGAGAGTATAAATTATACTATTCACGTGACGCATTATAAATGTGAGTGTGTATGTGTGCGTGTGTGTGTGCGTGCGCGCGTGTATGTACTATAACATTATAATACAATGTCAATCTGTTATTTAGCATATTAAGTAATTATGATTTAACATAATAAAACACGAATAGCATGAAAAAACATTTATTAACATGGTTAAAGAAGTTTGCAGCTATACGTCTATACCTAATGTATAGTCTTAGCGATTACTTGTAGTATTATTGGAATTTACAGGCCGTTTTTCCGCTTGCAGTTTCAAAAATAATGAATTTAAGGCTGATAACACATATACGTATTTAATTATAATTCTTCTTTTTAGTTAAATCAAAACGTGATTGTACCAATGTATGCTAATAACAGGCTAAACATTTTCTAAAAAAATCAATTTGTATAAAATATGTAAATTAACCGAATATAAATAGCAAAAAGTGTTAGTGTTACTGGTCACATAACTATTATCGGTAACATTATTTTTTATAATTTAAATAATTTAATACAAACACCCGTAGGTAGATTTTGAGCGTGATTATTTTAAATTAGCTTGTTTAATCTTTATCTAAGCTTTTAATTAATTATATTTTCTTTAAAAAAGTTTATTGGGTATTTTTAATTCCCGTTTTTTGCAATTAATTCAATATCATTAATTTCCTCTATACTAAATTCTGGCATCCACATTTAAAAATTATAATTTCAATTTGTTCAATTATTTTGATGAATTTTGTACCATAATATTATTATTTTTCTATAAAATAAGAGCAAAAAATTAAAGTAATAATCCGTTTATTATGTTCATACTATTTCTATAGTGGTCTCAACAACTTTCGAATAAACAACAATCAAAGTATAGATAGCGTTACTTAAATGGGCATAACAATAATTAAGAATACAATATTTAAATGTATTCAAAAAATGTTTTATTGGTCAATATTTTTATTTTATTTTTTTAAATAAAAATGTACCGAACTTTTACGACCCTATTTATTTTTATCATTTGATAAACACATAACTGATAAATAGCCCACATTTTTAATTTTCATAAATTCATAACTATTATAGAAGCTAAAAAATATAAAATAATATATATATATATAATATATACGAGTAATGTACCAATAGGCAATAATTATACATTTTAATTAATAAAAAACATTGATTGATTTAAAATGAGTTTAAGTTTTAAAAAATTACATGAACATTTATGAAGTAATTTGTTAGACAGAAAAGAACTTAATACAGTTAAAATTTCTTATAACGATCTTCAAAGGACTTAAAGAATCTCATCGTTATAATCGAACTTCATTATATCCGTATTATAAAAAGTAACTACTCATAAGATAAAAAACCAACCAAATACATTTCTTGGAATCGCTTTACCAGGAATATCGTTATACACGGTATTGTAATAAGTGAATTCTACTATAGTTCATAGGTAAAGTGGTTTTCAAAAAAAAAATGTAATTCAAATTTACATATGTTCAAATTAATTTATAGGCACTGCACTGTTCAAAGAATTATATGATACAATTATATAATAGTATAGCTATGATCGATACATCTTATAATGATAAATATAAGTCGAGTTAAAACTCGAAAAAATTTATAAAAATCCTGGCTACAATTTGGATTAGACCTTTTTTCGTAGATACTAGCTATATTTGGGACACAACTAGTATTCAGCCAGTGATTTATAACTAAAAGAATTGTGGGTTAGGTCTCTTTTAACATAGATAATTAACAATGGTAAATGCCTGGTAAATGTAAGGTATCTATTTTTTTACGGTATCGAAGTTTTACGTTACCATCATACAATTATAATTACAATTTATTTGTTATATAATTTTAACACCATTATCATGCTCGGTGGTAACAAATTTGAAAACAAATAATTGTAATACATAATATTGTATTATTTTAGGGTATAACTTAGCAAATCACTTGGTAATATCTATAATAAGATTTTAAAAAGATATGTTTTCTTTCATAATAATTTTGAGCTTTTTAATATTGTCTTTACCGAATTTAAAACAATCGATCACCATTAAGCATCATAATGATGGTGGAATTATATGTTAATTTTATAATCATTTTTACTAATCATAAACAAATTAAAAGCTTAAAAACAATATTATTATTCAGCGAAGTCTAAATTAGCTATAGAGCTATAAATACAAATACTACATATTATAGGAGACGTTTTTAACCTATAGCTATTAAGAAAGTATAAAATTATAAACTAATTTCTAAGAGAAAACTATATGAGAAAGTAATAAGTTTATAAGTGTGTTACGAAAATTGATGTTTATATTTAATTCAAAAATATTTAATGATAATCAGAATATTAAAAATACTTAACTTGATCAACTTATTAAATTATTTAGATTAGTTGCATTATTCAATTTTTGCTTATTCGTTTTAACGTAGGTAATGTTTTTTTTCTTATTTGAATAAATTTCGAATTACAGAAAGTGCGTTTGATTTTGCATTTATTATTCCCAGCATGCTGTGTTCTATCAGTTATTCTAAAACGCAATTAATTTATGATATATAATAATACTATAATAATATATGAATATTCATGTAATACTGTTAGCCGGTAAATAAAATAAACAAAAATATTGTTCATATATCAAGAAAAGGTTACAATAATCATATATTGTATGTACTCAAATATATACTTATCTTGTTGTTATTTTATATAATATGTTTTTACGAGTACATTTCAACTATGTCAATTGTTCAACAATGGAAGAGGAACTGGGATAAAAATTAAAAACGTTGTTGCAATAATTAAACTATATAATATGTATTCTATAAATTATTTGATTTAGAAATTAAATAAATTTAAAAACTTTTATTGTTATTATTAACCACGCATTAGCAACAGCAAGCTTGAGTCATTTCTAATTTTATACATCACATCTTCATATTATATATACATACAAATAAAGTTTAATTAATAATATCGTTATAATAAGCATTTGCGATTTAAATAGATATAGTAGTATTGCTCAAGTGTGCATAATAATATACTTTATAAGATTTCAATATCAATTATAACGATTATTATTTTTTTACAATAATGACAATTTATTCTATTGTATAAATACTGAATTTAAAAATATAAAACGATTAATTCAATATTATTATATACTATGTAGTATGTACGACTGCGAATGGTGTGACGAGTATAATATTATGTGCATGATACAATGCAATTAACCCGTTTACACGTTACAATAGTACATAATATGTGTTAGCCTATGTTACACAGAGTTAAAATCTTTTACAAACAACATAAGCGTGACATACCGATGTCACTACAAACCATAATCCTTAATTTTTAGTACATAATGAATTAATATAATATATTTAAACATTTATTTATTTCGCTTTAGGCGCTTCGATTCGGACAATAATACTATTATCTAATACGCTATCGGTACAGTTATAAGATTTAACCATTTATAATACAAGAGTATTGATATGTATATATATATATATATATTATATAGATGTTATATTATCTATGGATTTAACATGCGTGGACATAGATCACGGTTACGCGTGAGTAGGTAATTTTTTTTAATGGCAAGAATCTCATTGCAACCGTCTACTCAGTAGACAGTGCTACTGTCAGACTACTGCGACCTTTCTGTTCTTCTGAGTTACACTGCTAGTCAATGTATTCGCCGTCGTTGGGGCAAGTGTACGTGGAAACGAGCTGTCGGCGGCCTAAACCGCGGTTAATCACATGTGGTACCGTTTTTTCCACCATGCTGTAAACAAAATAACGAAAATATCAGTAATATTACCCATGACGTAACGTCATGATCATATGCCGCAGAACAAGAGGTTTACATGTTTTTGGGGATGAAGCATCGACTTAGCTAATTCAGAGGAGCTACGGAGATATCAGTAAACCGTACAGCACACTCAAAGTCCGCCTATGAGCTCTGCGCTAGAAGCTTTGTTCAGAATATGCAGAATTTTAATCGGCAAACTAACTTGTTACCTCACAACGCCCACTTATACATTACCATGTATAATATTTATATTATTTTATTTACTTACAACTCGATATTACTACGAAAATAATAAAACTACTATTATTCGTTAGAAATGAAAATGTATAAAGAACACTTCTGTTTAGATGCAATTTTCCTAGCAAGGCTGTGAATTTAATAAGCTATGAAGCTATAAAAAAGCAAGTATTAAATATTTAAATTTAAAAAAAAAAATATAATTAAAAATGCTTTTAGAAATCTAACAAATGCGTTAAAATAAAATGCATTTAAAACTTTTAAAAGCTGTTTAAAAATCGTAATTTGAAGAACATTAAATAGTAAATTAGTACTTTTGTTTTTTTTTTTTTGAAAGGATAAAAATACCTACATTTTTATTAAACAATTTAATTAGGATTATGACTTTTAAACCTATAGCTCCTAATTTACAGTAAGTTTTTAAGCGAATATTAGTTCGTGCAGCTGCATGTTCTGCAAGCCTCGTTGTTCTACCTATAATTATAGTTTATAGTCTTTCATTGCGATAGCGTATTATTCGTATATCGGGTATCAGCCGAGTAGCTATACAGGAAATCGATGCATTTATTCTTACAAATTGTTTATTACTATCTAGTAGGGATTTTCTGTTCCGTATTCTAGTAAACATTTTCATAGAATTGTCAAGCATCAACGAAATAACTTTAAAAATAGAATTTGACAAACATAGTAAGAAAATATAAGTATAAGAAATTATATGGTAAGTATTAGAATGAATGTTACCTATTTAATAGAATGTTATAAAATGTAAATGTGGTAAAGATCATTTGTTTAAAAAAAATTATATATTTTGATATAATAGATATATTTCTATAATCTATATTATACCAAATATATTTAATTTAATATCATATAAAAAAACAACTAAATACTTATAATTTAATGTAAGTATAAAAATCCAAATTTTAAATAGCACAATATTGCTTTTAGAAACTTTCCTCCTGAATACCTTCGATAACGACATTTTATCTGCTTGATTATCAAAATAGAAATAAGAATTAATTTCTAGGATTTTGATTTTAAAACGCACTATTTAAACATAAAGTTAATTCAAATATTTAAATAAGCTCGAAGCCTTGAAAATTGGATCATTTGAAATTATATAAAAAAATATTTTTGAAAACATTAATATGTTTTTAAATAATAAAAGTATTTTGATTTTAAAAAATCACCAAGTATATCTAAAAATAAATGTTTTTTTTTCAACAAATTTTTATTAAAACCAAGTGACTTTTAGAACATTCGGGATAATGAAATATATGAATAATTGATTATAAGTTACAATATTTGAACCAATTTCTGAGGTACGTACCTGATGCAACCAGGAATAGGGCATACCGTCAGACACAACGTACAACCCGTGCACGAGTCAGGTTGGACGTGGACGATATGCGATTTCGGATCCATCGTAATCGCCTGATAGCCAGAATCGTTACAAGTCATGTAACATTTTCCGCAGTTGATGCACGAATCCTGTACAAAAACATTTACACAATGAGTCATATACTATAAAGCTCGCACAGATTTTCATTATTGTCAGCTAAGAATCATGCAACAAGGAACATGGCTATTCGGTTGGCCAAGATGTTTGGTAATGAATCGCCTTCACCACTTTAAACTAACTACTAAGTAATAGGTATTGACCTCACGTAAGTAAAGTCAGCCCTCTTCAAATTATACCAGATAAATTGTAAATTAAAAAGTTCAATTTATAAGTCATTAAAAGTTGGTTAAAGAAATTCGTAAGTCTCTTGGAACTAAATTTTAAGGACTAATATGAAGTTAGTACTTCCATTAAGTTTATTTTGGTCACAACTTAGTTCCGAGGAATTTACGAACTCCAAATATTAAGTTATAATTATTTATAAATTAATCTTACAAATTCGACATACAATTTACCCAGTGTAACTTGGCCAAAGTGGGGGAAAAGGAAACTTAACTTCATACACACACAACTGACCTCATTAACCAGGGCTACGACTTGGGCACGAGAATCTAGCGATTTGTACGCGCCGACGGCTTTCAACGCGCGGCCCACGACCAATTCCACAGGCGTCGCCATCGGAACTGGAACTTGGTCGTCATTGGTTTCCTCCGGTACCGAAACCGTTGTCTCCGGTTCCGGCGTCCGATCAACTCCATTCGACTTGGTTCCCTGGATCGTGTTGAGCATATCTGTAGCCGCACCGGATGCCTGCTCACAACGCTTGTTCCGCAAGTACGGTCCAAACATCGATTTACTACCACTTTGGTCGGCAATCACGGCCGTCGTGGATACGATATCGTAGTCGTCGGATAAGTCGATCGAGTCCTTGACCAGCGCAGTGGTGGGACGACTCTGTTTCTCCCGTCGTTTGTTATTGCCTTCGCTATTTGTGTACAACAACGCCTTAAGTCCAGTGATATAGTCCTGGACGACGGTGAAGTCCTGATTCTGGATAGCACTGCACACCTGTGCAAAACGGAATAAAACTAAGTACCAGATAGTAAAACAATCGTCCCGAAGAGTCTTGGCCAAAATAGTTAAAGTTATGACAGCGAAGTAAAAAGAACGAAATCAATAGCAAGAAAAAAATATAATTTTCAATATTTTTGAATAAATTATAATAGAGAGGTTAATTGAAAATATTGATTTGCTATTATTTTCTATAAGGCTACGAGTGTATCAAAATTATTTGTTAATTTTGGCTATTGTTTTAACACATTAACTTTTCCTCTAAGGAGCTCTATTACTCCGTAAATCCTGTCATACTCTCCGGTCAGCCAAACCAACGCACACATGCGCTATTCTTCTTGGTTTTGTTTTTATTATTATAACTATCAAACGTATTTTATCGTTTAACCAGATTATAGTGTGGATTAATCACCTGATACTTTTATTATTATTTATACCTGATTTACTCTTAAAAATTTCCAAAGTTACTGTTTTTCTCGATAAATCGTGTACAATGATAACCACTGACGTATTTTGCCTCTTGCAATATATTATCAACTTCAAATTTGATTTCATTACTATTACTTTTGCTGTTCGAGTTTTCGCTGTTTTTACTTAACAATTATTATTTTAGCCACGACTGTTTCCGCATTTTTGGCCGGATACCGTTCCGACTTCGACTATAGTATATACCTGCACGACTTTGGCACCACAGTACAGATATTGAAGCGTGGCCGCGGCGCTGTCCACACCGCCTGTGGCCATTATCTGGACAGGCGGTCCTCCGTCACCACCGGCCGCCACGTCCGGTCCCAGGGCTCGGGACAACGCCGACACGGCCCGCAAACCTATAGGCCGAACGGCCGTGCCTGACATACCGCCGTACGTGGTTCTTGGCGTGTCTGCGGTGTTTTTACCGACTCCTGGCCACGGTCGACCGTTGTTAGCGGCCACGTCCAACGGGCCAAGGGCCGAGACCGTGTTGACGGCAGTCACTCCGTCGGCCCCGCCGAGTCGCACAGCCGCCCTGGCTACGGCCACCACGTCCGTCACGTTGGGAGTGATTTTCACGAACACGGGCACGGGTGTTGCCGTCTTACCGTCACCAGCCGGTCGCACCGCTACTCGTTTGACCCATCGCGAAATGTTCTCCACCAACACCGGATCCTGCGTGGGACACACGAAGTAACAATTTCAATAAAACTCGTTAAAATGTCATTTAAATACTTCACGTAGTCTTAAATGTATTAAACTATAAAATGTTAAAGAAATAAAAAAACTTTGGTTTAATATTCTAAATTACAGACTAAAATGTGATTAACGCGTTAATTACACGTAGACAATTTTACAATAATTTTTTTAACAAAACTAATTTATTTAAACAACAATATTTAACAACCCGCATAAAATAATTATTTATTTAGCATCAGCACTTTCAGCATGTTGTTATTGTATATCTATTGGGGGATGAACTTTTTACAAACATTTGTCTAGCGCAATGATTGATAAACTGTATTTATGTATTATAAAATGAACCAAAGCAAATGTTCATCACTTTAATTTATAAACAATTTAGTGTGTAGGAGTTTTAAATTTATTTATAATTTATCTGTTTTAATTGAATTGTATAAACAAACATTCATATAATTCTATTATTAGATTATGAATCCAAAACTATATGAGCTAAAGTTTAATACTGTATTATGTATGTAAAATGTCTATGCTTATTCAATTATAAATATGTACTTGGACAAATAAAAACTTTTATATACGGTTTTAAATTTATGGCGTAGGTGCATTTGATGTTTAAATAATTATAAAGCTAAAAGTTGTTTGAGAAGTGTGTTAAGTATCTATCTAGTATTTTCATTTTAGTTTTTTTACATAAAAATCTACTTAGTCGTTATTAGAATCTAAGTTAATTTTTCTTAATACAGTTATATAAATTAAACTTGAAACAAGTATCAATTTATTTTTTGTATGTAGATAGTTGATAATAACTGCTCTGCCGGTATAATCTTAGCTTTTAGAAGGTACCTATATTACAATATTATAAGCCATTTTAAATTGTAGAAAATATTAATTACCTATTATTCCTTGCAATAAATAAATACAAAATTAAAAATATTACAATAACATTTCATCGTGTGTATTATAATACTGCTTTTATACCTGGCCGCATGCTAAACCCATTCCGGATTCGCCCATACCGTGAGGACAGCTCAGGTTCAATTCCAGTGCATCAGCACCTGCGTCACACGCCAATTCGGTAAGTTGTGTCCAATCGCTCTCAATGTACGCGCACATTATACTGGCAATTAGAATCTGCAACAATATCGTTTTTACACGTTGTTGTCGTCACAATGATAAAAAAAAAAAAACAAAAATACGTCAAAAGTGTACTTGTTTGGTATGTAGTTAAATTATACAAGATGATTTACCAAGCATTTTCATTTCGATTTTTGGTTTCTAGAATTTGTAAGTAAGTTTACAGACGAAATAATAGAAACGCCAACTTTAAAAATTCACCACTTAAAGTTGACTTAAAAATAAAATGTTTTTTTTATATTATTAAAATATAAATGAGATAAAATATACATTTTAACTTTTTGTAAAATATTTAAACATTCCATTTTATTGTTATTAGTTTAATATGTATAAATTTGTCAATTAATTTGAATAACACCCCTTTTTGAAATTTCTAGCTACGCACCTTTAAATTATAAAATTTAAATATTAAGAAATAAGAATATAATTAATAAAGAAGGTTTTACAAAAATACAAATATATTTAGTTTATAATTTTTATTATAGGTATATTGTAAATTTTTAAAATCTTAAAATATTGATAAATTAATATTAATTACCATAGTTTTTAAATTTTTCACATCCTAATTAAAAATTTACAGGAAAAAAGTGCGATACTCATTTGAAAAAAATAAGAGTTGATATCGTAAAAACGAAAACTTTTTAAATAAAATATATTGAAATATATTATACAAAAATCTATGTACCTATTTGGAAATATAGTTCTTAAATATGTTTAAAAATTCTAAAATCATCAATCAGTATTAAAATAAAAAAGGGTGGTGATAATGCTTAGTGAACCACTGTAGGTTTATTACTTACGTGCTGCGGAAAGTCACGTTTCAGTTCCCGGATGGAGCGTAACCAGTAAGCTGCGGTTTTTTCCGAAATCAATTCTATATTCAAAAAAGCGTTTTTGGCTACATCTGGGTCTCCAGCACCGATAGAACCAGGTCCTATACCGTTGGCAGTCGAACCACCTCCAACACCATGACCACCCAATCCTATGATACGCGGCGATACGTTCGTTACCAAGTCCTTGTCCAGTCCGAACGTTTTTGTGACGGCAAATGCCCAACCAGCGCGGAACGCTCGACGTATCATCGCAGCGCTTGTCGTAGGCGGTGCTGAGGCCAGTCCGAACGGATTCATAAAACGCAGTCCACACATTCTGACAGACAAGTCCACGTCATCAATTGCTGTTCGAAAACCTGGCAGCATTGGTCGTGAAACAGATGATTGGTGATTTTGAATACTATAACCGTACAACTCCTGTTCGGAAAAATATGCTATGAGATATTTTTGCACAAATAATGACCGTCGTACGAAAAGTTGGACTATACCAATGGGACGCCGATCAGGTCCCATAATAAATTCTCTAGCAGTTATTAATTTAATTAATGTAAATGATACAAACATATAATTATCTAAACCATCAACAGGTATTGCTATAGTTTAAAACAAGTAAGATTAGATGGTTGAATATTTTTTGTCTAGAAACAACATGATTCAGTAAATATTCAGTAACAAACAAAAGAATCACACAGCTTAATAGTCTAAATTGTCGAAGTTTAATTAAAAAAATATATACATGCGTAACAAATGTTAGATGATAAGATTGATTAGTTATATTATTTACAGTATAATTATTATACATGATATACGGTAATAGAATTTATTTTCATTTGTTTGTATTATGTACGAATACACAAACACAACCGTTAATTAAATATTGTAAATAAAAAAACTCAGAATAAATAATAAATAATTATATTACAATAATACTAACAGTTTTATTTTATGTAATTATGTTGATTAAAAAAATAAATAATTTTATCAACAAATAATAATAATAATGGTAAATTACGTGTCATGTTTGAATTTAATATAATTCATATTTGTGGGGAAATGTAACGAGCATGCGATTCTAAAAACTTGTAAGATTATTATAGATTTTTTAATTTTATGAATTTATTTTATTTCTTAAAAATTATATACTTTGAATTGTTATCAATTTTGTTTAGACAATTTACAACCTATCAAAATTTGAAAATAATAAGGTGGATGATGGTAGATAAATAATTGTAATCGGAACAATTTTATAATCCCAATAGTATTATTAATAAAAACATTTTCATTTTTTAGAAATCAATTCAACTACAGACATAATATTTACATGAAATCTTATTGAATCCATGTTTAACTTATACAGTCTATTGTACCTGTAGATATTGGTGTATGTGATATGCAGCCGTTTTTCCATCGTTGGCCGACTCTACCGTGGTCTGCGACGGATCGGCTGTGGATCCTTTTGCGCAAGAAGCATCGCCACCGCACCACACCGGTGGTGGCGTCCGCCGTTCCTGTTTGTCGTTAGCAACTCTGTCATCATCGTCCGTCCACCACTCACAGCGGCCGGTTTGAGCGTCGACGCACACTCGTCCTGTACGTTTGTCTACTCTTGCATATGGCGCCAGCGCTTCCGCCACTGGACGTACGCAACAACAATACGACCACAAAATAAAATCGTTTAATAAGGTGATAAACCAACTCCACTCTTCGCAATGACGTATTTAAGATTTTATCATATGGAAAGGGAGATATATACTTAACCAGGTGTCACTAAATTTAAACTTTAAAGTGATTGCATTCCATTACCTCCAAATTTTCTTATATTGTAAATTTTAATACCTAACTTGTTAATATCATAAATATAGAATACGTTCTCAAATTAAAAAAATAACATATTGTCTGAGGGATAATGAAACATTCTATCAAGACAAAATTAAACATTGATCGCATTTGAATTTAGTATTATTATATTGAAATTGAATAAAATTAGCGTCTATTGCGCACTACCACTGTCACAGTCGTTAAATACAATCCCGAAAAATGTCGAAACTGAGTTTAGATTTTAATGAATGTTATTACTTATCAGATTATTATAATATCACACATAATGGTGTCTAGAAATTAGTATCTATCCCACATAGGTACTGTGTTTATTTTTCTTACTATCTATAACTATTACTATAGGATTTATATTTATGTTCTATCTCCTGTACATGTCGATTAATTGGACTGTTTATTATTATTTTGTTAGGTTAGCGTAATTACGAGTATATCATTCACCAGTTCACCAGTTACCAGAGGCAATCTAGGTACTACGAGTATAACGCAAAATAATAACATTTTTGTTAATGATTGGTTACTATAACAGTTGAAAAAATGTTGTATCTAGCCAAAGATGCACTAGGTATATATAAAAAGTTCAAAGGGTGTTTGTGCATCCATCCCCTCTAGTCATAAATAAGCCACTGCATCATCGAGAAATCAATTGCAAAGAACTCACATTCTTTCGGTAATCGCGAGCCAAATGCCGAGACGACACAGTCGGCACGCAACACGAACAGATCGTCAGCCGAGTGGTCTTCATCGTCCAGCTGTGGCTCTACATCGTCCACGTCGGTTCGGCGGAATTGTACGCCGCGAATCCGATCGGTACCATCTCCTGGAACTTTGCGGAACAAAAACCGCACCGGCTGCGAGTGAGGTACAAGTTCGCAACGCTCACGCATTGCTCCTTCCAGTTCTTCTGGGACGGCGCGCACGTCGGGCGTGCCACGTCGGAAGACGACCCGTACGCGGCGGGCGCCGCACCTGAGCGCTACTGTAGCGCAGTCCATTGCCGTGTCGCCGGCACCGAGTACCAGCACGGTTTTGCCTCGGAAATCCGGGGGCAGGGGCACGGTAACCGATTTCGACGCTCCGCAGCCGCCGTTACCGTTACTACCGTTGCAACCACTACCACACCCTCCCCGGCCGTCAGGCAATCGCTTGGAATATCCCGAGGCCTGACGCAACAGCCATTTAGAAGTGTACACGCCCAGACTTTGGGCAGCGGCCGTATTGCCACTTACGTCGACGTCGCGGAAGAGATCGGCTGGAAGTTGAGGCTCCGGTAGGCCGACGGCTACAAACACGGCCTGCGCTCCATCCGGTCCTTCTATTAGGTTCTTGAGGAAGTAAAAATAAATACGTAAAACGTCATTCGAAAAATATTTACGTCCGATTGTAATAACCCATATTAATGATAATATATCAAGACACACACCTTAAGCGTCATGTCGCCAGGTCTACCATCGCCGGCGGTGGAAGAATATAGCCGACGACCGTACTCCAGGCGGACGCCACCTCGACCGTGCTCGACCATCTGTTCGATTTCCCAACGGACTGCTCGCCATGGTAACCGGTACTCAGGTATCTCGGAAGCACTATACACACAATACATTTCAAGATATTAATTCAGTGAAATTACCATAATTATAATAATGACATAATCGAGTGAATGGTAAACATGGAACGCGCTAGGGCCCTAAAAACCAATGTCACTGATTGGTAACACTTTATTGATTATATTTTCAATGTTTTCATCATTTTTAATGGGCATTACACACAGATATAATTATTATTACGTAGGGATTTGAAATTTTATTACTAGGTATTCATAAAAATATGATTAAAACGAAAATTATATAAATAGCTATAACGATAGAATCGAAATGTTATGTTAAAACTTATGTAGCTTTCTCTTAATATTGTATTGACTATTTATGAACTTACCTAAGACCGCCAGCGTACGCACCCGATTCGTAGACCGTTACGCGCCGATACCCAAGCCGGTTCAGGTACGTAGCACACGTCAATCCTGCTGGACCGGCACCAATCACAGCTATGGGCGCTAATCTACTCTGGCCTCGAGCTTTTAGCGGCGGGCCATCCTCGCGTTCCTCGTCGTCATCATCATCACTGTCCGAAGAAACGGTTGAAGGAGGCACTGCCATGTCCATAAACATCTATAAAACGTACACGTTATATTTACTGTAACGCCAAGTTCTCACAACACTATGTTTGTAAAATTGAATACAATACTCAATTTTTAAGTAACGTGTATCTTATATATGTATTTATGTAGTATTGTATACTGCTGCAGACTAAGCCTTTTAATACATATGATTATAGTAGTACGATAATCAATTAAAGATTACAATATAAATTTTTTACGGTATTTTACCGTTCAAAAGTCCGACAACATTTCTCAATAACCGAACTATCAATTTAGACAGTAGATAAAAAAAATTTAAGTACAACACTTACTTCCAGACAAAATTGCTGTAGTCCGCCAATGTTGATAGGTCCGCCATCTGTGCCGGCCAAATTACAGGAACCGGCACACAGCTCACTCGTTGGGCACACCATGCCACAAGACAAGCCCACCGGGTTGTCTGACAGGATCGTCTTTGCGGCTCCATAATAGTTCTGTGAAAGTTAAATGTTATGTTTTTATTAAATACACATACATTATATATATACAATGAGACGTCCCCTAAAGAACTTTATTTTGGGAGGAATAAGGACATTTTTACAACTTTTCAATAGAAAAATCACTAAATAACAAACACCTATTTTAATCATAATTTAAAAATAATGACAAAACAATAAAAAAACGCACTTACATTAGTATAACGTTATGATAACGAACTCAATCAAAAACTGATTTTTCACGCGAAATTGAATTGTACTCCTCTTTTCATATTTAATTGAATATATATTGTTAAAATATTAAAATTATTATATTATCAAAACATTAAATAATAATACTTTAATTTAATTTAACTTTAATCATATTTTTTTTCCTTTTAGACATTTACCTTCTATGTATTTCAAAAATTTACACTTTTTGAATAACAGACGAAATTTCGATAATCGAGAGTGTTCACTATTCATAGGTCTAATAATTATATAAAAGTTATATCTAAAATCTATATCTATCCATAATCTATATACATATATTATACTTGTCGTTGTATTTAATAAAATCCTCATATGATCGATGGTAACTATTTGTGATGAGTTAAATAGATTTTATTATTTTTACTTATTACTTATAATTAGTATAAATAAATAGAAAAATATCTTTAAAGTAAAGTCAAGTTAATTATATAGAGTGGCATATATAAAATTGCATAATTTACGTAATAATAAAAATTTACTTCCATCTTAGTAAAACTAAAAAACATGTAGATGTTTCATTTTGATCACCATTCATTTTGTTACTGTATAACTGTACAATAGGTTCATATAAACTTTCTGAGTAATATAAAATGTTGTAAATTTTATTTGAAAGCAAAAAAAAAAAAAAATAAAAATATTTTTACTATCACACAAGCTATTCTTGATTTAGATGAGGTATTTATATAATTATATTTTATAAGTATAGGTTTATATCTACATATGTGTAAATATAACTCAATGTCATTATCAATTGCGTTCCTGTGTAGGGACAAAAACCGTACTAAGGAGTTCTATCAAATACGTTAATACGTAGATACTGATACCATCGTATTAACGTGAAAACTTTCATGGCATGCATCTATATAATATTATAAAACGTTATTAAGCATTACACTATTACACAAATTCTCCTAGCTGACGATTATCGGTTTTGTTTTTGGTATAATTTCTACGTGTAAACGATAGTTATTATTTCAATTAGTCTTTAAATTATATAGAAACGTATTTATGTGTTCAATCATTTATTAAATATTTATATGTATGAAATGTAAGTAAACGAATTAAGAGTATAACATTCTATATTATTATATCACATACTGTTTAATAGAAACTCTAGGTAATACTTAGCAATCAAATAATAAAAATCTATGATAAAATACTTAAAAAAATTGTTCAATTTTTAAAATAATTAGCTTAAGAATACACACTCACTGGTGGAATGTACTTAATTTTAATAAGTGTATATTTAACGACATTAGTGTTTATAGCAAATCAAGTATAAAACATTTAAATAGAATAAATTACTAGAGATATAATAATGAATAACATATATATGCTAGAATTTAAGTATAATATGGTGATATTTCATGAAATATTTAGATATACTTTATACACTAGCGATAAACCATATATAATTTAACTACTTGTTATTTAAATATTTAATAAGTTCCCTGTGTTTGTTTAACAATTATATTGTGTACAGTAGAAATCATTAAAAATTTAAAATAAAATTAGATTTTTGTAATGTGTACATACTAATCAGTAGTCCTTATCGTTTTCGTTATTAACAGCAGGTACGATATATAACTATTGTATTTAATAATAAATAATAATAATAATAATTCAAACAGCCATATAACAACTGGTACCTGGATACTTCAAAACGTGTCAGTATGCATCAACTAGTATAAAGTATGAACATCCATCTCGCCTCTATTCACGTTCATAATAGGCGTACTATAATTATATTAAATTTTTATGTACGAGTATTATTACGTATCATGTATTAATTGCATTTTTTTAAAACAAAAAAATGGAAATGATTAAAAAAAATTGAATGTATGTGTACAGTGCTTAAATGTATCACAAATCGATGTGTTTGTCATGAAAATGGTGTAAAGCGTAGTTCAAACAAAATCAATCTTATATAATAATAAATAGAAAGTATTACGCGTTTCAAATTTATTTTGAGTATACATATTGACATTTTATATGATATATAAATTATTTAATGTGTATTTGCATTGTTTATTATTGTCATGTATTTCTACTAAAACTATCATTTTCTTCTTTTTTTTCGGTCAGGATTTCCATTTTATCTTAAATGCATTTGAAAAAAATTTCAAAAATTAAATAGATTTATTATAAATTATTGTTCCTGAATGAAATCAATGTTTTTTAATATCAAAATAATGATTTTATAATAACTGCAATTAACTATTCTCAATCGATGACTATTAAATAAAACGATAAAAATAAAAACCCTTCTTTTAACAATATTATTAATTTTTATTTGGCCAGTACATTTTTTTTCTTATTAATTTTATTATTCTTATTGTCTTATTATTATAATGTGATAATTATTAGGTATTATTATGTACTATGCATTATTATTTTAATTGTCACATGAGATTCTGTTCTAATCTTACTCTTATCATTGCTATTTTTTTATGATGTGATATGTGAAGCGTATATTTGCATATTATTAAGTATGATACGAAAAAAAATATGATAATATCGTAATTATTATTATTATTATTATTATTACAACATTACACAGTGTTGAGTTTTATGCCTGCACGTGCTTTTTCTGACCCATTACGTAATTTAAAAATCGAAATATTTATCTAATACTTTTGAACTTATTAACATTACCTGGTTAGCGATACTTGTGATGAATGACTTAACATCGATGGACGTTGGACACGACAGCTGGCATGGCGCATGTGCACATTTGAGGCAACGGCGAGCCTCGCGAACAGCCGCCCGCTCGCCACCTCGAAACGTGCTAGGTTTGACGTCCGTCCACCACCGGTTCCACAAGCCACTAGCACACCCATCTATGACACCTGCGGTATCCTGCGCATAAACACAAATCAATTAGCACGATAACTTATTGATCAACAATTCAAGCGGTTACAATATAATATCTATATACGTCCTCCATAATATATATAATACTATTACGTATAATGTGTAGGTGTAAGCGAACGAAAATGCTGAAAAGACCACTTTTTACGTATAGTTTTTTTTTTTTTTTTAATTGAATGAAAATCATTAAAACCAATAATCAATATATTTATCACTCAAAAGTCACAACATTGTTTCGAGAATAAGATACCGAACTATTTGAAATCTGACGCAAAAGTATGTAGCCTTTTGAAATGATCGAAATAGTGGATAATTTGCATAGCGAGTCTTTTCACTTCTCAGGGAATAGCCAACATATTTTTTTCAAATTATAAGTCAAATTTTAGTAGAGCTTTTATGGTACGGACGAATTCAGAACCGAGCATCGTCCAAATTATCGATTCGTCCGGATTACTGGAGGGTTTTCAAAATTGCCTACTCATATGACTTAGATTTATATTTTTTATCCACCACCTTTATATTTATTGCACTTTAAATTATTAAAATAATAAATAACTTTAACATAATGAATTATATAATATAAGTATAGTAAGTAGTCAGTAATATTTTTTCTTGATAATATTTTTAATTCCGAACAAACTACAAATGTATTTATGAACAAATGGACTTATACTGTTCGGATTACCGCGTTGACCGGATTATTGAGGCTCTACTGTATATATTTTATATTTTATTTAAATCACTCGTCTGTATTCTATAATCTATATACACTAACATTCAGACATATAGTTATCATTAAAATTTGTTGTCTCCATAGGTACAACATTTTGTGTTTCCCGTTTTAATGTTAAAATTAATTGACTTTATATCAATCTTAAAGGTATGAACGGTATTTGTTTTTACCATATTTTTATGCTAGTTATCACTTATCAGTATATAGGTATGTAAAATATCACCATTCAAAAATGCTCATATTTTGCTTTAAAATTATTACGTACATAAAAAAAAAACCAGAAATAAAAAATAAATGTGTTCTTATCTTTTAATCTTTAAGATTCATTATAGATCAATTCACTGTTATATTCAAATTTGAAATACAAAATTAGAACTACTAATCTCAAATTTGCTTTTCTGTACGTTTAAAGACAATGCTTGTATGTCGTTCTTTATTCCTCATAATACCTACGTTTTTCCAATATTAAAGTTGGTTGTTTTTTGCAATAATAATGTTAAGACTTAAAATATATTGGTATCTATCTGTTAACTATAAAAGTAAGAAAAAAAAATATATGTATTAACTAATTTAATGTATACTATACTAACTAGTATTATCTAAAAACATGTCAAAATATATTATATAATAATATAATATACCTATATATACCTTCTATATTATAAATTTATGAATTTCATTATTTTAGCCACATTGTAAGCCTGTTCACTACCATCAATTTCTGGGAATAAAATTACATTCTTAAAATATCTAGCTTGAAATTAAATCTAACTAATAACAAATGCATTATCATTCAACCATGGAGCGCGTTTGCTCACGTATTCACGTCATACAAGTACAAGTAGAAACAATATTGTTATACATTTATTATCAATCCATCCATACGACGATAACAAAAATGATACTGTAATTAAATGTTTTAAATTAAAAGTTTAACCTTAAAGTTTAAACATATCATGTACATTAATATATAATATCCTTTCCTGCATATTTTATTTGCCATCAATTTTTTTAAGTACAGACCTGTCACTATATTATATATATGTTACTGAGAAAAATGAATATCAAACAAACATTAGAAATCCTCGGACAAACGTGAACTACTGACGACACTTGAGCAATAAAATTGTCATATTTCGTTTTTGACAGGAAATTCTATTTGTGATCATCATCATTTGGACAATATAGTAAAGAAACTTATACATTTGAATATTTCGTAGTAGTTTGGTACCATATTTTTAATATACCATATAAATAACAATACAATAAATGTTATAAATGTAATTATACGCATTATACAACAATTATTATGGTAGTATTAAAATGTTTATTTTTAAATGTTTAACTGGTGCATCTGCACATCTTAGCCACTAATAAACTTTTCCTTACACTCAAATATCTGATTTCTATCATTAATGATAGTAGTAAAATAAACTACTATTTTTATTATTGTTCTTTTGTTAATTTGTCAAAATTATGTTATTAAAACTAAGTTTGAGCAAAAGTTGAAATACAACATTTTTTTCTAAATAATGTAGACAGTTCGCGTATTTCCTTAGCGTTTCTGAGGGTTACTCGAATTCGACTTTTGTACTCGTATCATATATATGAAACATGTTGATTTACCAGACCGTTTTAAATTAAAAATACCTTTTGACGCATTTGTGTACAAACACGGAGTACTAGTAAAGTACATACCTACGGCTTCCAGCCCCGTTCAAAACAAAATCTATGAATTTTACTAACTTTCGTTTTCATCGATTTCCTTTATTTAAAAAAAAAAAATACCCTAAATAGACAATAATATTATGAGACGTTTACACACCTCAGAATACGAACTATTGCGCTTGTAATGATGGCGGTCCTCGACCGTTGCCACGGACGGTTTGACTATCGCCCGGGCCCGGGCCAGCCCGGATCCGGCGGCAGCCATCAATCCAACTCCTTTTCCTCCCGCCATCGTACCGCCATCGTTGGCCACAGTCGCGGTCCATTGGCAGTTGGCCAGTGGTCTCGGATTCAAACGGAGTAACTCCTGCAAAAATTAAACCAAATGGATTATTTTCCATAATCAACACATTTCCATAATAATGTGCACGTAGCAACATTTAGCACACAAATACAAGTACCACGAAAAACGTTAATTTAAAAGTCGAAATCGAAGCGATCACTTTTTTTACAATATATCATATGAATATAATATTATAATATATACCTTTAAATATTTATACGTTAAGAACTTGGTATATATAGTGTCAGCGGTCGGTTTTAAATTCAAATTTAAACGACGATAGGTTTTCCTACGACATTTTCACTATTTTACCGTGAAAAGTTTTCGGGTAGAAAAAGTGCTGTGCAGAATAATCGAATAGGTAATTCCATTGAAAGTTTGGAAGTCAAGTCTAATATCTTAGTAAGATGTCCCCCCCCCGTATAAGTCGAGATTAGATTATCCCAATTTATCGTTTACCATTAACGTCGAACGGTATTGTATCGTACTTAACAATATAAAGAGTGATGAGCAACTTAAACGTATGCACACACAGACGTCGAACTGGCGACAAACCGGTTGACTTCGATCGCCTAACAGTTGATCGCGCGATTAATTCAATACCAGAACTATCGACTGTATAGGATTTTTCTATTTCGAAGCCATAATAATATGTGGCCAAACAGTCAGACTTTGAACGATTCGAATACCAATTTGTACGTCCTATTTGTGTGCGTACAGCGCTGTTTGATGATATTATTCTTCGTCGATTTAGAATTTTCGATAGATAATTCTCACTCGAGCCGTTTTTCTATTTGAGTTAATGCCCAGTGCAAGCCCAACCAAGTCTCAGTGTCAGGTATCGTGACGATCGTTTGAAAAAGCGTTTTGGCTATAACACGGGTAGTCTTACATGAAGTCATCAAACTTTTGAACGTGCCGAATTTCCGGCGTCGACGGGTAAGCGGTAAACGATAATATTATCTCCACATACCATCACGAACGACACGTCCTCGAAATTCGCTTACCTCGATGTCGGGCGGATCGACGCTGCAGCTTCCGGCGTACGGAGCGTCGGGCTCGGCCGGTCCGTAACCGGCCGCAGTGGTGGCCGCCATCCTGATCTAACCGCTGCTGTTGCCGCCGTCGCCGGGACGGCCTGTGCGTGGACGAAAAACGGGTGACAATCGACGAAACGGCGACGATCGGCCGATGACGCCTCGCCCGCCGGAAATCACGACTGTGCGGGGCCGCCTATACGGTATATACGGTACACGGTCCGGAAGTGATGACAACAGTTGCCGCTGCGTCGTACGGCGACGATTATTATTTAATATTATGAATTACGATAATATTATACTGTCGTACGTCGGACGGGCGACGGGGCGTTAGGTGGTGCCAACGGCGGTCGTCGGAAAGACCGGAGTGTTCTCCTCGACCGCGGACGGGTGACGGCGGCCTGTCGCTTTTTTTTTTTTTCTGTTTTATCGAAATTATCGTTCGTACAACAATACGATACAGCGTCGTTGCGATTACGGGACAAAAACGTCAGCGGTGAGCGGTCAAGACGCAATGAGTGTAACGCACGCAACGCTGCAGTGTTATTGATATTGTTGCGTTACGTATACGACGTCCGTACGCGGTCGATCGGTACTGTTGCGCACAATAATATTTTACAATACCAGCTGCTCCGGTCCGACCAATGTAACAGCACTAATAGCAGTAACGATAACAACAACAATAGAGATAAGCGCGTGCACACGCGATGGCGCATTAACACATCACGGGCGCGACGGGTATTGCGACACGCTTCGGCATCGGAGCCATCACATGTCGGCCTCGCACCGCTTCCACTTAACAGTCGAAAGGCCCCACCCGGCACCCACAGGCCGCACACGATCGCCGCCGCCGCCGCCTTGTTTGTAACGTTGTTTTTGTTCCGCGGCGGCGATGACCTCTTTCCGATCGCTGCGCAATAAACGGGCACTGTCGCCGCACTCGTCCGCGATCGCTACGGCATTATTGTAGTTGTATACAATTTAATATTACTAATCTACTCGATTAACCGGCGGATGCCGTCGTTTTGTCGACGACGCGGCGCGGTCATCGCAATCGTAATAAATAATAATAAAAATAATAATAATTATTATTATTATTATGTATTAATAATGACGTGACGTAATATTTATACGAAATACGAACGCGGCGGTCGGATCACGCTCAGATTTCTAAGTCGTATCATACTATATTGTATACTATCAATAATATAGGAACTAAAACCGATTTGAAGCTCGTCCGCCGAGTTTTGGGTCGGAAATATGTCCGTGGCGTAATTCTCGCGTTCGTTTCGAGTGCCTACTGCACAAAAACGATTAACGTTAGGTACCCGCAGAGGAGTGTTTACGATTTTGGCGCTCTTTTTTTCTTCCTAAAAAAGAAAATTATCGGGACTGATCAATTTTTACACATCGGTGGTTTAACAAAAAAAAAAAAAAATAATAAAAAATGGTTATCAGATAAAAACAGCTTAGTCCAATAATATCTTATTTTTTCTTGACAATATTTTTCTAGCGTAGCGCTCGGGGAAGATTGCCCTCACCTAAATGCGCCCTGGGTTCCTGTAGTTATTATACGATTCTTACTATAGCGGGATTTTTCTGCGGTGATGAGTAAAACCGATTAAACAATTTATCAAGTTTATTATTTGTGGCAGGTCAACCTACCTCGAAGCTATAATATATTATGGGTTCAATTTTCAATATTTATTTGTTCAGAATAGTAGCGGGACCATCGCGAGAGAACTTTGAACGCATTATAATATTCACTGTACAAACGCTCTGCAAGCGCAAAAACGCACTAAACGTGCGAGGTCATCGTAATCGACACGGCGTAGTTCTATGCACGATATTATTTACATATCCGTATCAATAATTGTCCAACCAAGAGATGTCAGCGATCCGAGATTCGTTTAATGATATGAGTTCTTTATCTATATAATGGTGTATAGTAGGTACATAAAGTCCACGACCATACTTATAAATGAAAAAATATTTATTGCTATACGGTCGAATTATCAAATAAATAAAATGCCGAGTAGTCGTCCCGCGTGATGATAATAATATTATTGTTATTCAAATTCTCCGTCAACACGTCGTCTCCTATTGTTATACAGTCGCACGTACTATATAGCTGGGTAGGGATATGCATATAAGTGTATAGTTCACTGACCACTACCATTAATTAAATTGTGATTTGTAACACAATAAAAGTGTAGTCAAAAAGACAAGTAAAACCGTAGACAGATTACCAGGAAAGCTCGATTGCGTACCAGTGAACTGAAGGTTCAATGTTTCCCTTTCTAAGTGACATTTGTCTCGACTGGACGTATTACATTATTATAGGCACTTTCGAGACATAAATGCCGTAAATTCGTAACAAAGAGTTACATAAACTTACATTATTCCAGCATTGAAGAAAATATAACTACGAACAGTAAATTTTTACTGCTGTTCATATCTTTTTTACTACATTTCAATATTAAAATATATTTTTATATCGCCATTCTTTGAAATGTAAAAACAATTACCTATTATTAGTATTTATATGAGTTTCTTTAAACTAGACTGTTGTAAAAACATATAATTACTAGTTACTCAATTATAACCTCGAAGCCTGTACATTTTTAAACGTCTTTATCTATATACTTTAGAATTAAATAATATTATCGATATTATAAAATGATATTTGTCCGTAAATCAGAGCATTATAAGTTTCAGTATTTCACAAGCTTTTACACATTCGATAACTTTATTTTTATTCTATTAAAAAGATAGTTTCATATCACTTTAATAATTTCATATAACAATAAATCATATAACAACAATAAGTCGTAGAAGTTATTATTTAACTTATATAGTTATATAAATTACATTACATTAATATTTAATACTCGTGTTTTTCGTACACGATTTTTTGTCTGTTTCTTTTATACTTCTAAATTACAATTGTTATGATTGTATAGTATGTTCGTTTTTATTTAATTTTTACATTTGAATTAATATCGATCAATGTTTTAAATATATTATAAAGCCATTCTTAAAATAGGTACCGTTGTTTTTTATACATTCTATGTGTGTACATATTTCGCAAATTCGCAATAATAAATAATAGTAATATTTTTAAAAGCTTTAAACTGATTTTTATATTATATTTATAGGAAACTATCTGAATTTTCTGAATTTTTACACTATGAATAATAGTGTAATCCAAGTAGGTACTTGAAACTTTTCACCATTACCGCCCACGTATATTATTGTTTACTATACACCATGAAATTTTTAAAATATTTAGAATAATATGAAGATAACCAACCACCAACCAATTTCACCCACTGCATAATTAGTACCTTTACGTAGCTGCGCCGGTATTACTAATTAATTATAAGCTAATAATAGCAAATTATTATGTGAAATAATATTATAATAATTATTATTAATTACTATTTAATATTATATGTGATTTTTTTTTGGCAAAAATTAATTTAAATTATTGTTTTAGTAATAGAAAATAAATTATTTGTAACAATAATAAATAAAAAAATAAAATATCCTCAGAAATAAAAGTAGTCAATTGTCGCTAAAAATAATTTTTCGTCGCATATAGTCGGTTAGATAATAGCTTATGTATGTATACAATTATTTAAACAAGATAAGTAAACTAAAATAGTAAAATGTATTTACCATTACATCAATAAAAAAATATAAATAACCTATTCGGTCCTTGAGACATGTAATTAATAATCATAAGAATTTATATGATAATTACGTATTTACGAATGAGTTTAATAATTGTCTCCTAAACCTGATACTGACATTAAAAATACATTCAGTAATAACAATTAACACATGCGATTTATTTATTTTAACGAAATAGAACTTTATGTATACTTCACATTTATGTTATGTAATATATTTTACATTTACATATTACGGTAACGCAACTATTATTAAGTTTTTTTTAATGAATCATTAAATATTTGTGTAAAACAGTTTTTTCAAACTTGATTTTTGTTGTAATTGTATTATTATTTTAAATTAATTATATTAATGTTATTTGTTTTTAAAGTTCATATTCTTATGTACACAGTCTTGAAATTTCTTATTTTCTTATGACTGAGTTACCAGTAAATAAATAAATATAAATAATGCATATAATACTTGCTAAAATAATATGCTGGCAATTAATATTATTGACAATAATCAATAATCTATAATATAAAATATAAATCAATTAGAGCATGACCACTTTTTGAATAAAATTAAATACACTGGTTATAAGTGTATACATATCGGATCATATAAAATATAATTATTAACAATCTAAATAATCATGAATTTAATTTGAATTAAAATTGATAAAGTACAGCTAGATAAAATCATTTCTGAATATTTAAATATCTAATCTATTCTGAGATATGTAAATCGTTATACCTCATACATCATAATAATATATCAAATAGCTTTTGCTTTAAATAAGCCATAAATTACAATTCTTTTAAAAATCTATTATAAAGTTTAATTACCGTGAACCATGTACATTATGTGTATTATCAGTTACTACGTATTACTTGTAACTATAAAGAACAAATTTTAATGTAACAAGAAAATTAAAATATATATATTTTTATGTACTTATTTTTATTAAATTATGTAAAAAAAAATCAAAATATGTAATTATTGCTTAATAAAAATATAAAAAAAATATAAAAATATAACTTAGCAAAAAAGTATATATTTATCACTAATTAATTCTTAAAAAAATGTGAAATTAAATATTCTCAGAGATTTCAAAATGTTAAATAGCGACGATTTAATCAAAACATGTTTTTATACTGACTGAACGAACGTTTTATATAGACTGATGTATTGAAGGCGTATTTCATAATTAATATTAACGTATACACTTCGACGGCCAATATATTTTTGGGATTTAATCCTAAATGTATATGTATTTATTTTATATTTTTTAAACTATGATTTTTTTCAAAATACATACTACATTTTTATATTACTAAATGTCCTAAGTAGCCTTGTACTTCTTCAATAATATATAGTAGAGTCATCTAACAAAGGCACATTTCGGATTTTCAGTTGTCTTATGACTTATTGTATAAACAAAGAAATAAAAAAATAATAAAGTAATGTTAATAAAATTATTTTTCAAATTAAAGTTTTTATCAAATTATTAACTAAACCTACTCGTTTAGATAATGTAGAATATTTTTACCGCCATCAAAAATCTACAAAAAAAATCGAGAAAAATCAAAATTGACTTAAATATGTATACTAAAATATGTTCTTATTTACTCAATATAATATAAAAATATCAACAAAAAAAAAAATGGCTTATTTTAATTAGAATAATCTAAATTATACACATATTTTATTAAATTAAAAATATCTCATTCCATTAAATATATGTATTTATAATGAAATGCGTTCTCTATTTATGAGTTATATTATTTTTATTAATTATTCATATTTACATAATATATTATATATATAAACAGTTAGGTACTATACTCAAAAGCACAACCAGTACTATAATTTTTTTGTGAGCAGAGATCTCTTATTTTAAATTCTAAGTGGCCTGAGCAGGGCAATGATGTAGTTTTCTTTGTATGTGTACACGATTTCTAGAAGATTTCTAGAATTTTTGACTTTGCTGGTGGTTTTAAGTTGCGAATTAGATCTAGTTGGTACTTTTGAGATGTCAATACTCCCAATATTATAAT